TATTTAATTTTAATTATTAATTTAGTTAAGAGATGGCGCCTAACGCCTACCTCTAATGACAAATTACTTTATTCTAATCATTTAATTAGCCATATAGTAGCCCGATATTTAGGCGATCGTTTGGCAATTTATTATATATACCAGCGCTGTCCAACTTATCATAGCCCGCGGGCCATATTTTCTTCACCAAACATTTCGGGGGCCAAGAAGGTTGCTGCTGTATTCAGCCAGGTTAAGTGAAGTTACGCAAACTAAATAGTACCTACTTTAAATTCAAATTAGATTTAAATTTTCACATAGTAAAATAATTTTAATATTAATAATAATAATTTAGTAACATAAATTTATTCATAGTAAAATGTACTCGGGGGCCGTAAAAATTATTTGGCGGGCTGTATACGGCCCGCGGGCCGCCAGTTGGACAGCCCTGTTATAGCAGAAAATTTAATGAACACTATGTAATAATGAAATGAATCAAAACTGAAAATAAAACAGTGACAAATTCTTTAAAAATAAAACTCTTCAACTGCATGTTTTCATTATTATGAAAAAGCTAAAATTATTAGTTATAATTCAATACTTGTAGGAGCACTAAAGGTTTTTGTTATTTTTGATAGTTTAACATTCCAGCTTGACTGATTATGGAATAAATCTAAATAACATAATATCCTATGTCAATACTCTTTGCAAACTACTTTTTTATTAGTGGAATGTGTTTCTATGGCAAAGATATTCAAATTCTTCTTGTAACAATCTGTTAAATTTATTAATAATAATTTACTTTCAGTTCACTTACATTCAAGAAAATAAATTACTTTCAATGTTGTGGTCCAGCTTAAAATTGATATATTTCATTTTTCTCCCAAAATTTTTGATGGATTGCATGTAATATTTATATAAAAACTACATTGCATATATTTTATATGAAACAAATTATAATTTTTCTTCATTTCTACATGCTAAATAATTTAGTGGTTAAAAATTAAAAGTTAATCATTTTGTTTACTGGAAAAATAACCAGAACTGGATATAAAAATAAAAACAATCATATAACTTCAGCTCAGATATTTATTATGAATATTTTCAACCATGTTTAATTAATAATCATTCTCAGAAACATTACAAAAGATCATAAGCATTAAAAAAAATGTAGAAAAATATCTTTTGATATTGATTATTATGGTACTGTTATCTATTTTTTTATATTTTAATATTCATTTCAGATAAACATGGATGGCTAAACATAATTTTATCATAAGCAATAACATCTTAATTCTATTTTCTACAAAGCATTATTTGCAGTTTATTATTACAAAGCTATTTTTTAAGAAGCAGCTGCTTTGTAGAACAAACTAAAATTTTTTCCTAAATGATCTCCAAAGGAAATAGCAATATCCAAGTGTATACATCTGCACTTTTTATGTTTATATTTATAATTGTAATATTAAATATTGAAATAAAAACAAAATGTACCAATATATAATTTTGATAAATAAACAATAATTTAAACTTTTTAAAATTTATTTAATTAAATGCAAATTAAATATTTTATTTGAAAATTATAAAAAGTATTTACCAAGGATTATCTTCTGTAACGCAATCTTTCACAAATGCAAGAAATTCATTGCAGAAATTGAAACAGCTGGAAGCTGACCAATAATTCTACAGAAACATTCATTTTTTAAGTAAAGTTATATCATACTTATAAACATTGTCTATATATAAACAAATTTTTATATTTTTCTAATATTTTACTTTAATTTTTAAAATTTTCAATAAAATAATTTAAAATTCTGAAATAATTAGTAGTGTGTGAAAGTTGTTTTTGAAAAATAGATTACCTAAATCTATTGAAATTTATTGAAATTTGCTATAATGTTTCTTTTCTTTATGATCATAATCTAAGGAAAAGAAATATAGTTAAAAATAACAATATATCCTCATTTTGGTACTTCATAATCATGAAACCATGGGATTCCAAACTGAAATGTCAGAAATCAAAATATACAGTTAATAGCATGTTTGATTATTTCTTGTGGCTAAATAATTCACAATAATGCTAACTACAAGATAAAGGAATGCTGTTCAATTACACATTAAACAAATTCTATTCTTCAATGAAAATGGAATTTAATTAATGTATGTTCTGAGAAGGTGTATGATGAGTCCCAAAAGATTATCACTAAACCAAACAATCGCCATAATTAACCAATTAATTATGGCAATCGTTTGGTTTAGTATTAATAGGGCTTTGGAATGTTTTTATATAGCAATTATTAACATTTTTGAAACACTAATCATACCTGAACATTTTAATAATATTTGTTCACATAAAAAGTTTTTTATTACAATAAAACAAAACTTTTTATTTTATAAAAAAGCAAAAAATATATGTAATAAATGAGAAGAATTAAGAAATATTTCAGATTAAAGGCAAAATCAAATTGATAATACTTCTTACTTTTTTTATATCTTTAGTTATATCAGGAAGTTATTATGAAATCATATAATAGCATCCTGATAAAACTATAGATATTTAACAAGCTTAATTGGAATTTTCTCCATTTAGACAAGCTAATAATACATATGATGCAATAAAAAAAAGTTTAAAAAAGTTCATTTGTAATAATAGCAAGTTAAATTATTGTTAAAAAATTATATATTCTCAAATTTCCTCAAAAATTTCTCCATTAATACCTTTTCCCATTCTTTCCCAGTTGACTTGAAGTTTGGGGAATCTCCCCAATATGGCAATTTTCTGTTCAGCAGCCGTGATTTAATTTTCCGCAAGAAAAGAAGCAGACTAGAATCTGAAGCATGTTTGAATGCTTCTTTTCATAAATAAAAATCTGCAGTAGGTGAAAATGAGAACAATCATTTATTAATCTAATAATTATAGTTAAGATAACAGTACTAAAAAGAAGATGATATTGTAAAATTTAAAGTTAAAATAAAATGTTTGAAGTTTCATTTCTTAAATTTAGTAGATTGTTTTTCCTTTATCAACTTGAAATCATAAGTAAAGTTTAAATAAAATTGAAAATAATATTTCTAAGCATGCATTTCATCATTAAGCTTACACTAGCAGAAACCCATTGAAATCAATGGTTTTATTCAATTAAAATATAATGAGCTCATTTAAAATTTGGTATTATACACAAAAATCACAGTACAGCAAATGTTTTCTGGGCTGTTTTCAGGTGATTTGTGTCTACCTGTTCTCTGGTACCCTGAGAACAGGTAGACCACTGGTCCTCTCTCTCTCAATAACTTCTTTCAATTTTGCATCTGGGTCCCTGGGTGACAATTTAATATTCCTAAGGCTGACCAACTTCGACTGGTATAGTTTCAGATTAACAGTGAGAATAGTTTCAGCCATGAGACAAGTTGACACTAGCCTCACTATTAATCTCATTGACTATTATAAAACTCTTAACATATCAACAATTGTATGTTCAAGTTTATTTTTATTTTAGTGTGTAGATTTGTCAAGTAAGCCATCACTCACACTTAATTTACTCTTTGTTAGCAATTTCTTTACGTTTTTGTTGAGGTTTGAGAGTATTCTATTTAGTTGTTGGTCATGTGATGACTTCTCTCTTTTGTTTACAATAATTTACTTGTTCCTTTAATATTCTATATCTGCATTCCCAAAGTATGAGTTGCAAGTGGTTTAACAATCACCTGACATTTTTGTCTCATAGACATTAATGTACCTTTGCCACTCTACTATGCCAGAACTATTGCACCTTTCTCAAATCTTACTTCAACTGCATCATCTACAGGATAAGAGCTTTAATTTGATAAGTGAGCTGTATTTTTAGTTTTTAGACCCAGATGTGTACTCTGACAAACTGAACCCTTTTCCAATTAATATATAGATAAATTTCACTATAAACTATTGTCCAGTGTCAGAAACATAAACTGCACAAACATTTTCTGACACCAGAAAATAGGTTTATAATGCAATTTATATTTATTAATTAAAATATTTTTGAAGAAATTTGGAATTGTTTCTTATTTAATAAACAATCTATTTAATTAAACTGTTAAAAATAGAAAATATGTCTGAGATTAATTCTTTCAATATTTTTATCAAAAATTTTTTCTAATAATGTCAAAATACTTAACAAATTTAAACACTTCAATTCAATAAAACTTGCAGTTATAACAGTGGATAATTATTATTGTTATTATTGTAAAGCTGGTATGTTACATAAATAACTAAATAAAATGTAACGTTCATTAAATACTTGTATATGTTAAATAATAAATTCAAAAGAAAATATATATTTTTTTGTCAAATCATCATTTTAAATTTCATCATTGATTTGTTAACTAATAGTTTCTTCAGCACTCTCTTACCTATTCTATCATTGTTTTAAAGTAAATATAAATTTATTATAGCAATAAGATTTGTTGTCATGTTTCAAAATACATTTTTTTGCTAGAAAATTATATGAAATTGCATTTTAAAATAAAGAGGATCTTTTAAAATGCTATATATTTATAAAAGATTGTTTTAGCAGATTTATTCTTAAAATGGTCCTGAAACAGTCCCATTTGGGGGCTAGATTAGTAAATGAGGAACAAGATAAAAAACTTATATAGTCCTATAAATAGTATTAGTGGGAATGACTACATGAACCACTTCAACTTTATCATTTCAATTTTTCTGGTTTTCTGAGATTGGTATTAATTTAATCTGTTAAAAATAGGTTTATATTCACACATAATGCAAGGAACAAAGATTGGATACACAATAAAAAAATGAAAACATAAATATGACACAAACAGAACAAAGTTGTGATGAATAAATGATATTTTTCTTTTTTCTAACTAGCAGTATTAGTTACAATCTCTGTGTAAAAATGATAGCAGTAGCCTAAGTTTACAAGATGAAGGTAAATGCATATATTATATAAACTGCATATGGGCACTGCTGACTAATCTGGGGATTATTATATTTTTTAGGTACTTAGCCATCTCATAACCTCATGGCTGTGGGCACTTTCCTGACACAAACCATTAATTTATCTTATAATCAATGCTCAAGCTAGAAGATATTATAAAAAAACAAATTCTTATAAAATGTTTTTAAAAATTGCTCTCCCAGTTAATATTGTGTTTGTATTGTATGTTTTATACCTTAAAACAAATTTTTCTAATACAAAACTATAAAAAAATCAAATTAATCAGCAGAAGAAAATTGGGAATGTTAACGTTTTCCCCATGTTGAATGAGCATCCTCAGGCTAATTAATCCCACAGCTGTTGGCACTGATTGCCATACATTCTGAAAAAGGGGGGGGTTGATGTGAGGAAAGGAGAGGAAAGTGAGTTTACAGTTTAAAGAAAGACTTCCATGCTATGGAAAAAGAGTCTACATCATGGACATTAAAAGCCCTATTTTTGCAGGTGGCTTTATAAATTTCTACTTGCTCCAGGTGTCTGAAAAAGAGTTGCCAGGAAGAGGTATAAATGAGGCATAATGGGTGATGCTTAGTTAGAAGTCATGTTGGAAGGTCTTTAGCACTGCAGAGGAGAGTGAAAATTAAGTGACTACAAAACACTAAACAAAAATTATTGTTCCTGGATATCTTTGTACAGGGTGACTAATCTTTTCCAGAACACTAAAGACCATCCTGACATACACCTCCAACCAGGCATCTACACTATCCCCGTTACCAATCACTGATCCAACTGCAACTTGAATACATAGGTACTACAATGCACCCTTTAAACACCTGCTTCAAAGAACATTGTAATTCCATCCTGAAAGGATTGGCCAGCACTGCACTAACTACCTTTGCCTCCAACCCTGATATTAATGTGGATTTCAACCATGCATGCCTCATTCATGGCTCTTAATTGCAACTCTTTTTCAGACACCTGAAGCAAGTAGAAATTTATAAAAGCCACTCACAAAAATACCATTATTATCTTTCACAACATAGACTCATTTCCCATAGCATGGAAGTCCTTCTTCAAACTGTAAACTCACTTTCCTTTCCCCTCCTCTCCTCATGTCAACCCCCTTTTTCACATGTACAACAATCTCCCATTGTGTCAACAGCTGTGGGATTAGTTAGCCCAAGGATGCCCGTTCACCACAGGTGAAAATGTTAGCACTTTCCAATTTTCTTCTGCTGGTTAATTTGGTTTTTTTTGTAGCTTTATATCAGGTTTAACCACTTTTTAGTGGTTAAATTTTTCTAACATAGTAAGGATCAATATCATTATTTTAAACAGTATTAGGATTTATAAAGCTACTGAGTAATTTTCTTTAAATATCCTTTTATTAATTTTTCCAATGTAAGCATTATTTAAGATGAATTCATGATAATACTTATTACAACTTCTAAAAGTTTCATTTATTCATTATAGTAATTATATAAACATAAAACATCTTACTAACTTGTGATAATTTTGGAATATCTTGTACTACAAATGTTTCCAAATGACCAACAAATCCATCATCATCACGAAAACCACATATAATTTTGGGAATTCCTATTAAAAATGATTGAGCCCACCACTTTAACAGTTTAAATCTGAAAAAATTAAAAAATTTTAAATTATATTTAATAAAGATACATTCTATAAGTTAATCAAGTGATAATAAAAATTAAGGTTGAAACAAACAAATGATTTGTCTGAATACTGAATGATAAATGTTTAGCTAGCATTAAAATTTAGATTATTTGACTGCTGAGTTACAAAATAAACAAAACTTTTAAGATTTTATATAAAATATATTTAAAATTTCAAACAAAATTAACTTAGAACTGGATATAATACAAAATAACAACACAGAAACTAGAAAAATCCAGCAAAAACTCAGTTTACTAAAATAAAACGAATGTTTTCAACATTTTTAAAATGTCATGCAAAACAGAAGATAGAATGTAATTTGAAAATTAAAGATCATCTGATTGAATGAAACATAACATGTTACAGTTGAAGTCATCATATTTAAATGGTAAAGTAAGTTTTTGCTGGATTTTTGTGGATTTGTGTTATTTTTAAAATTTCATATTTGCATGAATTCAAACATATGCATTAATTAAATGTATTCAAAAATTTGTTTGGTTACTCTACAAAAAGTTTTTTTTAATTGTAACCTGAAGATACTTGCAAGATTGAAACTAATTACCATATTTTTGTACATAAACCTGCAAAAATGTTAAAAGACAATAAGGAGAGCAGATTATGCAATGGGACAAGTTTATGCTGATTTTAAAAATACAACTATAAACTCAGATGTATGGAGCAATGGATGCTCCTATAGGTACAGGATATACATAGGATAGGTTATGCAAAGGTTTGATTTCATTTTAGAAATATGCCATTGCAATTTATATGCTGCCACAAATTACACACATTAAAATACATATTCAAGCATGCAACATAATAATTTATTATTATTTTTTTTAATTGGGTCTACTAGTTTTGACCCAATGTGTTAGACAGCTAATTTGAGAGCTAATTATCATTTCATTTAAATTATAGAAACTTGCAGTTTCTATTTACTGCAAAATGCTTCTATATCTTTTATTTTTAATAAATAAATTTTAAAAATTTTTATAAACAAAAAATCCAGTCTTTATTTAAATAAAATACTCTAGGAGGAAATATATTTATATTAATTTTGTTTATATTATGCAAATTTCTATTTTTTAAACTATACTTTAATATTTACAGTATTAGAAATGCTCTTTGTTGGAAAGCTTCCTCTTTATATTCAATTAACTATAAAAAGAACAATAGACTTTTTCAATTTGTTTCCTTTTTTCATTTGAAATACATAATATCTTTAATAATCCATTCTTAATCTGTTTTGTATATCTTTACACATTTTTGTAAATGGACTTATTTTTCTTTTTCTTTTTTTTTTGTTTCTTAATGAATTGTAACTACAACTATAAACAAAGGAAAGTTGAATTTCAAATTTTAAATTAAAAAAAAAACAGTAGTTTTTAACAGTTTTCAAATAATAGTTATTAATAAAAGCATTGTACTTGAAAACACTTTAAAATTTTTAAAACTATTTTATGTTATAATGCCTTTGTATACTTTTTTTGTTGTTGATAATGACTTCTTTTTTCATAATGCACATAGATACACCCACCATCTTCATAACTGAAAAACTGATAATCCAAAAATGTATCTATTACCATATATAAATTCATGACTCCTGCACTTAAGTCTCTGTTGACTTTGTTTCTTATAGTACTAATTACGATAAAAGTGTTCTTAATTCTTCTTGAAACAAAATATGATTTTTAGAATCATACACCGTATATCTTGGCAGATAAGACGATAGATAGTTGAATCATAAAAAAAGTCCCCCAATATCTAGGGTCATCTCATAGGACAGATACAAAAAAAAAAAAAAAAGAGTGAAATTTATATAAATTAAAACCATTATAAAAAACAGACAAATCGTAATTATTTACTAGAAGAAAGTACGGTATGTGCACAAACTTGCAAAAAATTTTAATTTATGAATCGGAATTTTTAAAACAAATATATCAACCAAAAACAAAAATATACCTGCAAAAATTTCTGTACTGTCTGTCTGATGTGATATTTCGTAATGTTTTCAATTCTACATAAGGTTTTGATCCTTCATAAGAACATTGTTCCATACAATCAACTTCAGCACCATATACTAAGGAATGACTGTTCAAGCGTGATCGTACTATGACACCATATTCTTTATTTGTATTGACTGGAGATTTAGCATCTGGACTGCCATTTTTTCTATCTTTAAATACATTTTGTAAATATTTAAAAATTTCTATAAAAAATATATTTAAAATTTTTATATGCATGTTATATATAAATAAAATAATATACTCATCAGTTACATTCTTTTTAATTATTTATATTCAAATGAATTTACACATAAACATACAATAATCTGAGTTTTTAATAATCAAAGATATTTAAGAACTGGATTATTTTTCCAAGCTAAATTTAAGCTATTATTAATTAAATAAATTATAGAATTTGGCCTAAAGATAGAGCCAAATTCTATAATTTATTATAGAATTTGGCTGTATAATAAGATAAAACTTATGCTAAGATTAATAATTAGAAATTAAATTTAAATTTCAACTAAATAATTTAGAAAATTCTGGAGAAAAGATTGGCCCAGAACAAGATCAAATGTTCAACTTTTGCCTATATTATGTTTACATGTTATCATTCAGGAATGACCATGTTCAAATTTAAATGAGTTTAACTATTACACTATTTACAATAATCTTGGTAAACTGTATTAAATTGTCATTCTTGACTGAACCAATAATGGTAAATATGAATTGAACTGTAAAATAAATGTAATATACATAAACAATGGTATATATGTTATCGCTAAAGCTTGGAAACTCATTAATCTGCAGATTAGCTAAGTAATCTGCAGATTAACTAGCATGATCCGTTAAAGTTGTGAAAATTGTTCCATTTCTCAAATTACCTAGATAATGTGCAGAGTATCTAGGTAATCCGCACATTACCTACTAGGCACTCGGTAAAGTGAAAATAAGATCTTTGCCACAAATAAATGTACCACAAATAGGTGTGCTTGTCGCAGAAACCAATTNATGAATCAAAACTGAAAATAAAACAGTGACAAATTCTTTAAAAATAAAACTCTTCAACTGCATGTTTTCATTATTATGAAAAAGCTAAAATTATTAGTTATAATTCAATACTTGTAGGAGCACTAAAGGTTTTTGTTATTTTTGATAGTTTAACATTCCAGCTTGACTGATTATGGAATAAATCTAAATAACATAATATCCTATGTCAATACTCTTTGCAAACTACTTTTTATTAGTGGAATGTGTTTCTATGGCAAAGATATTCAAATTCTTCTTGTAACAATCTGTTAAATTTATTAATAATAATTTACTTTCAGTTCACTTACATTCAAGAAAATAAATTACTTTCAATGTTGTGGTCCAGCTTAAAATTGATATATTTCATTTTTCTCCCAAAATTTTTGATGGATTGCATGTAATATTTATATAAAAACTACATTGCATATATTTTATATGAAACAAATTATAATTTTTCTTCATTTCTACATGCTAAATAATTTAGTGGTTAAAAATTAAAAGTTAATCATTTTGTTTACTGGAAAAATAACCAGAACTGGATATAAAAATAAAAACAATCATATAACTTCAGCTCAGATATTTATTATGAATATTTTCAACCATGTTTAATTAATAATCATTCTCAGAAACATTACAAAAGATCATAAGCATTAAAAAAAATGTAGAAAAATATCTTTTGATATTGATTATTATGGTACTGTTATCTATTTTTTTATATTTTAATATTCATTTCAGATAAACATGGATGGCTAAACATAATTTTATCATAAGCAATAACATCTTAATTCTATTTTCTACAAAGCATTATTTGCAGTTTATTATTACAAAGCTATTTTTTAAGAAGCAGCTGCTTTGTAGAACAAACTAAAATTTTTTCCTAAATGATCTCCAAAGGAAATAGCAATATCCAAGTGTATACATCTGCACTTTTTATGTTTATATTTATAATTGTAATATTAAATATTGAAATAAAAACAAAATGTACCAATATATAATTTTGATAAATAAACAATAATTTAAACTTTTTAAAATTTATTTAATTAAATGCAAATTAAATATTTTATTTGAAAATTATAAAAAGTATTTACCAAGGATTATCTTCTGTAACGCAATCTTTCACAAATGCAAGAAATTCATTGCAGAAATTGAAACAGCTGGAAGCTGACCAATAATTCTACAGAAACATTCATTTTTTAAGTAAAGTTATATCATACTTATAAACATTGTCTATATATAAACAAATTTTTATATTTTTCTAATATTTTACTTTAATTTTTAAAATTTTCAATAAAATAATTTAAAATTCTGAAATAATTAGTAGTGTGTGAAAGTTGTTTTTGAAAAATAGATTACCTAAATCTATTGAAATTTATTGAAATTTGCTATAATGTTTCTTTTCTTTATGATCATAATCTAAGGAAAAGAAATATAGTTAAAAATAACAATATATCCTCATTTTGGTACTTCATAATCATGAAACCATGGGATTCCAAACTGAAATGTCAGAAATCAAAATATACAGTTAATAGCATGTTTGATTATTTCTTGTGGCTAAATAATTCACAATAATGCTAACTACAAGATAAAGGAATGCTGTTCAATTACACATTAAACAAATTCTATTCTTCAATGAAAATGGAATTTAATTAATGTATGTTCTGAGAAGGTGTATGATGAGTCCCAAAAGATTATCACTAAACCAAACAATCGCCATAATTAACCAATTAATTATGGCAATCGTTTGGTTTAGTATTAATAGGGCTTTGGAATGTTTTTATATAGCAATTATTAACATTTTTGAAACACTAATCATACCTGAACATTTTAATAATATTTGTTCACATAAAAAGTTTTTTATTACAATAAAACAAAACTTTTTATTTTATAAAAAAGCAAAAAATATATGTAATAAATGAGAAGAATTAAGAAATATTTCAGATTAAAGGCAAAATCAAATTGATAATACTTCTTACTTTTTTTATATCTTTAGTTATATCAGGAAGTTATTATGAAATCATATAATAGCATCCTGATAAAACTATAGATATTTAACAAGCTTAATTGGAATTTTCTCCATTTAGACAAGCTAATAATACATATGATGCAATAAAAAAAAGTTTAAAAAAGTTCATTTGTAATAATAGCAAGTTAAATTATTGTTAAAAAATTATATATTCTCAAATTTCCTCAAAAATTTCTCCATTAATACCTTTTCCCATTCTTTCCCAGTTGACTTGAAGTTTGGGGAATCTCCCCAATATGGCAATTTTCTCTTCAGCAGCCGTGATTTAATTTTCCGCAAGAAAAGAAGCAGACTAGAATCTGAAGCATGTTTGAATGCTTCTTTTCATAAATAAAAATCTGCAGTAGGTGAAAATGAGAACAATCATTTATTAATCTAATAATTATAGTTAAGATAACAGTACTAAAAAGAAGATGATATTGTAAAATTTAAAGTTAAAATAAAATGTTTGAAGTTTCATTTCTTAAATTTAGTAGATTGTTTTTCCTTTATCAACTTGAAATCATAAGTAAAGTTTAAATAAAATTGAAAATAATATTTCTAAGCATGCATTTCATCATTAAGCTTACACTAGCAGAAACCCATTGAAATCAATGGTTTTATTCAATTAAAATATAATGAGCTCATTTAAAATTTGGTATTATACACAAAAATCACAGTACAGCAAATGTTTTCTGGGCTGTTTTCAGGTGATTTGTGTCTACCTGTTCTCTGGTACCCTGAGAACAGGTAGACCACTGGTCCTCTCTCTCTCAATAACTTCTTTCAATTTTGCATCTGGGTCCCTGGGTGACAATTTAATATTCCTAAGGCTGACCAACTTCGACTGGTATAGTTTCAGATTAACAGTGAGAATAGTTTCAGCCATGAGACAAGTTGACACTAGCCTCACTATTAATCTCATTGACTATTATAAAACTCTTAACATATCAACAATTGTATGTTCAAGTTTATTTTTATTTTAGTGTGTAGATTTGTCAAGTAAGCCATCACTCACACTTAATTTACTCTTTGTTAGCAATTTCTTTACGTTTTTGTTGAGGTTTGAGAGTATTCTATTTAGTTGTTGGTCATGTGATGACTTCTCTCTTTTGTTTACAATAATTTACTTGTTCCTTTAATATTCTATATCTGCATTCCCAAAGTATGAGTTGCAAGTGGTTTAACAATCACCTGACATTTTTGTCTCATAGATATTAATGTACCTTTGCCACTCTACTATGCCAGAACTATTGCACCTTTCTCAAATCTTACTTCAACTGCATCATCTACAGGATAAGAGCTTTAATTTGATAAGTGAGCTGTATTTTTAGTTTTTAGACCCAGATGTGTACTCTGACAAACTGAACCCTTTTCCAATTAATATATAGATAAATTTCACTATAAACTATTGTCCAGTGTCAGAAACATAAACTGCACAAACATTTTCTGACACCAGAAAATAGGTTTATAATGCAATTTATATTTATTAATTAAAATATTTTTGAAGAAATTTGGAATTGTTTCTTATTTAATAAACAATCTATTTAATTAAACTGTTAAAAATAGAAAATATGTCTGAGATTAATTCTTTCAATATTTTTATCAAAAATTTTTTCTAATAATGTCAAAATACTTAACAAATTTAAACACTTCAATTCAATAAAACTTGCAGTTATAACAGTGGATAATTATTATTGTTATTATTGTAAAGCTGGTATGTTACATAAATAACTAAATAAAATGTAACGTTCATTAAATACTTGTATATGTTAAATAATAAATTCAAAAGAAAATATATATTTTTTTGTCAAATCATCATTTTAAATTTCATCATTGATTTGTTAACTAATAGTTTCTTCAGCACTCTCTTACCTATTCTATCATTGTTTTAAAGTAAATATAAATTTATTATAGCAATAAGATTTGTTGTCATGTTTCAAAATACATTTTTTTGCTAGAAAATTATATGAAATTGCATTTTAAAATAAAGAGGATCTTTTAAAATGCTATATATTTATAAAAGATTGTTTTAGCAGATTTATTCTTAAAATGGTCCTGAAACAGTCCCATTTGGGGGCTAGATTAGTAAATGAGGAACAAGATAAAAAACTTATATAGTCCTATAAATAGTATTAGTGGGAATGACTACATGAACCACTTCAACTTTATCATTTCAATTTTTCTGGTTTTCTGAGATTGGTATTAATTTAATCTGTTAAAAATAGGTTTATATTCACACATAATGCAAGGAACAAAGATTGGATACACAATAAAAAAATGAAAACATAAATATGACACAAACAGAACAAAGTTGTGATGAATAAATGATATTTTTCTTTTTTCTAACTAGCAGTATTAGTTACAATCTCTGTGTAAAAATGATAGCAGTAGCCTAAGTTTACAAGATGAAGGTAAATGCATATATTATATAAACTGCATATGGGCACTGCTGACTAATCTGGGGATTATTATATTTTTTAGGTACTTAGCCATCTCATAACCTCATGGCTGTGGGCACTTTCCTGACACAAACCATTAATTTATCTTATAATCAATGCTCAAGCTAGAAGATATTATAAAAAAACAAATTCTTATAAAATGTTTTTAAAAATTGCTCTCCCAGTTAATATTGTGTTTGTATTGTATGTTTTATACCTTAAAACAAATTTTTCTAATACAAAACTATAAAAAAATCAAATTAATCAGCAGAAGAAAATTGGGAATGTTAACGTTTTCCCCATGTTGAATGAGCATCCTCAGGCTAATTAATCCCACAGCTGTTGGCACTGATTGCCATACATTCTGAAATACATTCTGGTTGATGTGAGGAAAGGAGAGGAAAGTGAGTTTACAGTTTAAAGAAAGACTTCCATGCTATGGAAAAAGAGTCTACATCATGGACATTAAAAGCCCTATTTTTGCAGGTGGCTTTATAAATTTCTACTTGCTCCAGGTGTCTGAAAAAGAGTTGCCAGGAAGAGGTATAAATGAGGCATAATGGGTGATGCTTAGTTAGAAGTCATGTTGGAAGGTCTTTAGCACTGCAGAGGAGAGTGAAAATTAAGTGACTACAAAACACTAAACAAAAATTATTGTTCCTGGATATCTTTGTACAGGGTGACTAATCTTTTCCAGAACACTAAAGACCATCCTGACATACACCTCCAACCAGGCATCTACACTATCCCCGTTACCAATCACTGATCCAACTGCAACTTGAATACATAGGTACTACAATGCACCCTTTAAACACCTGCTTCAAAGAACATTGTAATTCCATCCTGAAAGGATTGGCCAGCACTGCACTAACTACCTTTGCCTCCAACCCTGATATTAATGTGGATTTCAACCATGCATGCCTCATTCATGGCTCTTAATTGCAACTCTTTTTCAGACACCTGAAGCAAGTAGAAATTTATAAAAGCCACTCACAAAAATACCATTATTATCTTTCACAACATAGACTCATTTCCCATAGCATGGAAGTCCTTCTTCAAACTGTAAACTCACTTTCCTTTCCCCTCCTCTCCTCATGTCAACCCCCTTTTTCACATGTACAACAATCTCCCATTGTGTCAACAGCTGTGGGATTAGTTAGCCCAAGGATGCCCGTTCACCACAGGTGAAAATGTTAGCACTTTCCAATTTTCTTCTGCTGGTTAATTTGGTTTTTTTTGTAGCTTTATATCAGGTTTAACCACTTTTTAGTGGTTAAATTTTTCTAACATAGTAAGGATCAATATCATTATTTTAAACAGTATTAGGATTTATAAAGCTACTGAGTAATTTTCTTTAAATATCCTTTTATTAATTTTTCCAATGTAAGCATTATTTAAGATGAATTCATGATAATACTTATTACAACTTCTAAAAGTTTCATTTATTCATTATAGTAATTATATAAACATAAAACATCTTACTAACTTGTGATAATTTTGGAATATCTTGTACTACAAATGTTTCCAAATGACCAACAAATCCATCATCATCACGAAAACCACATATAATTTTGGGAATTCCTATTAAAAATGATTGAGCCCACCACTTTAACAGTTTAAATCTGAAAAAATTAAAAAATTTTAAATTATATTTAATAAAGATACATTCTATAAGTTAATCAAGTGATAATAAAAATTAAGGTTGAAACAAACAAATGATTTGTCTGAATACTGAATGATAAATGTTTAGCTAGCATTAAAATTTAGATTATTTGACTGCTGAGTTACAAAATAAACAAAACTTTTAAGATTTTATATAAAATATATTTAAAATTTCAAACAAAATTAACTTAGAACTGGATATAATACAAAATAACAACACAGAAACTAGAAAAATCCAGCAAAAACTCAGTTTACTAAAATAAAACGAATGTTTTCAACATTTTTAAAATGTCATGCAAAACAGAAGATAGAATGTAATTTGAAAATTAAAGATCATCTGATTGAATGAAACATAACATGTTACAGTTGAAGTCATCATATTTAAATGGTAAAGTAAGTTTTTGCTGGATTTTTGTGGATTTGTGTTATTTTTAAAATTTCATATTTGCATGAATTCAAACATATGCATTAATTAAATGTATTCAAAAATTTGTTTGGTTACTCTACAAAAAGTTTTTTTTAATTGTAACCTGAAGATACTTGCAAGATTGAAACTAATTACCATATTTTTGTACATAAACCTGCAAAAATGTTAAAAGACAATAAGGAGAGCAGATTATGCAATGGGACAAGTTTATGCTGATTTTAAAAATACAACTATAAACTCAGATGTATGGAGCAATGGATGCTCCTATAGGTACAGGATATACATAGGATAGGTTATGCAAAGGTTTGATTTCATTTTAGAAATATGCCATTGCAATTTATATGCTGCCACAAATTACACACATTAAAATACATATTCAAGCATGCAACATAATAATTTATTATTATTTTTTTTAATTGGGTCTACTAGTTTTGACCCAATGTGTTAGACAGCTAATTTGAGAGCTAATTATCATTTCATTTAAATTATAGAAACTTGCAGTTTCTATTTACTGCAAAATGCTTCTATATCTTTTATTTTTAATAAATAAATTTAAAAAATTTTTATAAACAAAAAATCCAGTCTTTATTTAAATAAAATACTCTAGGAGGAAATATATTTATATTAATTTTGTTTATATTATGCAAATTTCTATTTTTTAAACTATACTTTAATATTTACAGTATTAGAAATGCTCTTTGTTGGAAAGCTTCCTCTTTATATTCAATTAACTATAAAAAGAACAATAGACTTTTTCAATTTGTTTCCTTTTTTCATTTGAAATACATAATATCTTTAATAATCCATTCTTAATCTGTTTTGTATATCTTTACACATTTTTGTAAATGGACTTATTTTTCTTTTTCTTTTTTTTTTGTTTCTTAATGAATTGTAACTACAACTATAAACAAAGGAAAGTTGAATTTCAAATTTTAAATTAAAAAAAAAACAGTAGTTTTTAACAGTTTTCAAATAATAGTTATTAATAAAAGCATTGTACTTGAAAACACTTTAAAATTTTTAAAACTATTTTATGTTATAATGCCTTTGTATACTTTTTTTGTTGTTGATAATGACTTCTTTTTTCATAATGCACATAGATACACCCACCATCTTCATAACTGAAAAACTGATAATCCAAAAATGTATCTATTACCATATATAAATTCATGACTCCTGCACTTAAGTCTCTGTTGACTTTGTTTCTTATAGTACTAATTACGATAAAAGTGTTCTTAATTCTTCTTGAAACAAAATATGATTTTTAGAATCATACACCGTATATCTTGGCAGATAAGACGATAGATAGTTGAATCATAAAAAAAGTCCCCCAATATCTAGGGTCATCTCATAGGACAGATACAAAAAAAAAAAAAGAGTGAAATTTATATAAATTAAAACCATTATAAAAAACAGACAAATCGTAATTATTTACTAGAAGAAAGTACGGTATGTGCACAAACTTGCAAAAAATTTTAATTTATGAATCGGAATTTTTAAAACAAATATATCAACCAAAAACAAAAATATACCTGCAAAAATTTCTGTACTGTCTGTCTGATGTGATATTTCGTGATGTTTTCAATTCTACATAAGGTTTTGATCCTTCATAAGAACATTGTTCCATACAATCAACTTCAGCACCATATACTAAGGAATGACTGTTCAAGCGTGATCGTACTATGACACCATATTCTTTATTTGTATTGACTGGAGATTTAGCATCTGGACTGCCATTTTTTCTATCTTTAAATACATTTTGTAAATATTTAAAAATTTCTATAAAAAATATATTTAAAATTTTTATATGCATGTTATATATAAATAAAATAATATACTCATCAGTTACATTCTTTTTAATTATTTATATTCAAATGAATTTACACATAAACATACAATAATCTGAGTTTTTAATAATCAAAGATATTTAAGAACTGGATTATTTTTCCAAGCTAAATTTAAGCTATTATTAATTAAATAAATTATAGAATTTGGCCTAAAGATAGAGCCAAATTCTATAATTTATTATAGAATTTGGCTGTATAATAAGATAAAACTTATGCTAAGATTAATAATTAGAAATTAAATTTAAATTTCAACTAAATAATTTAGAAAATTCTGGAGAAAAGATTGGCCCAGAACAAGATCAAATGTTCAACTTTTGCCTATATTATGTTTACATGTTATCATTCAGGAATGACCATGTTCAAATTTAAATGAGTTTAACTATTACACTATTTACAATAATCTTGGTAAACTGTATTAAATTGTCATTCTTGACTGAACCAATAATGGTAAATATGAATTGAACTGTAAAATAAATGTAATATACATAAACAATGGTATATATGTTATCGCTAAAGCTTGGAAACTCATTAATCTGCAGATTAGCTAAGTAATCTGCAGATTAACTAGCATGATCCGTTAAAGTTGTGAAAATTGTTCCATTTCTCAAATTACCTAGATAATGTGCAGAGTATCTAGGTAATCCGCACATTACCTACTAGGCACTCGGTAAAGTGAAAATAAGATCTTTGCCACAAATAAATGTACCACAAATAGGTGTGCTTGTCGCAGAAACCAATTGCTATGAAATTCAAAGTGTCACCAATCTTTAGACTGCACAATTGGATAATGTTACCTATGGTGGGTAAAATGGAGGATTGCCAGTTTTATTCCACATGAACTTTCAATAATAAGCATTGATTATCCAACAATGAGGTTAATTAACTCATTACAGATCATTTTATGTATCTTAGCCAGACTATGCATGGTATTCAGCTCTGAAAGTTTTATACGGTTCAAGAGCTCCTTTTTGGTAAAGCAAAGTGACATTGTACAGTACATATTTGACAAATGATATATTCCCTTCACTAAGTAAATACAATGATCACTGCTACTGTGCATTTTTACATCCTGGTCAAGTTTTGTAAAATAAGCTACACTTGTCTAAATTTAACTTAACCTATAATTGAAATTATGCTATTTCTGTTACTTATATGGTATCTTGAAGTCTCACAGACTGATTATCATTGTAATAAACAAACACTCATATCATATATATATGTTTCAATGAAAATGCTAAATACTTTTGAAATTGCACTGTCAAATCATTCTTCTTTCCCTCCTGGTTTCAGGATTATCAAATTTTAGCAAATATAGCAGTATTGAAAATCTACTTTCACTAATAACAAAAAGTATTTGTTTCTGTTCCATCTGTACTAAACAAGGGGGTCTTAGTCCTTGTGGTTCAATTTGAAAATTGTAGTATAAATTAGCAATCCTAAATATGTTTTCAATTCTAACAGAGTGGGATTCAATTCAGTTCTATTTAAATTTTCAAAGTTATTAAAATGTAGTGCTTTACTCTTTATCAGATAGAAATAAAAATATTTTTACAATGCAAAACATATTTTCAGCAAGAGATTATTTGCCAATGTCTATTTAATACAAAAGAAATGAATGAAGGCAACACTGACCTCTCAGAGTTGTAAATCATATGTATGGAAGCAATAAAAGGAATCATGATTCCAACTTACATTCTGTCACGCACTGTATATTTTCTAGATGTGTTCAGCCTAACAAAGTGAAGGAAAGAATACAAGGAAACCTTCAGAGTAATAGATCTTACCAAGAATTACTTCTTTTTCTATGGTTTCTTTTGATTTCTTTGTTTATACAGGGATAATCTAAAACACTAGAAGAATATTGAAAACTATTGATAGAAAGATTTGACAGATAAAATCTTATTCAGAATATTTATTTGTTACACATTCAATAAAATTTAATTGTATATATTTAGCCATTATCACGCATTATTATAATTGTATCAATATTACTTCCACACAAATAGACAGTTTTATCATGAATTAAACATTTTAATATTATTGAAATAGAAAAAGATAAGCAGAAAAGTTTTCCTCCTAAAGAATTGCAAATCTATAAACTATACGAAACTTTGCTGAATTTAAAGAATACGTACTTCCAAACACAACTGATATAAATATATGTCCGAGCACATAAGGTTTACCCACACAACGTATCAATATATACATATATAATGTTAGTTTATTAATACGTGTTTATCTACATGCAACATGCAAGTATCCCTTATGGTTTGCATTTTTTCTGATCCCTTATGTATTCAGACATATTTATATATTTCTGTGCATAAAAAGTGTATATACATTTTACTTAATTTTATATATATTTATATAAAATTTAAAGCTTTATTTAGGTTGGGGAAAAAACAATCCTTACTTGTAACCATATAAGTTTCAAATTTATGTCCCCACGCAGTCATTATCCTATCCCTTTCTGTCTCATTTTCTTTCCTTTGTAAATATTGTTGAGTAGGAAAAGCACACAAGTAGATGGTCCCTTTAAATTTAGTCGCACATATCAACCAATCTTCACGTTGTTCGTACGGAGTGCAGAGAATCACTGTCAATAGGCCACGATAGCAAATGAAATCAGTATTGAGACTGTAACGACAAAAAATTTTTAAACTAATAATTTAAATAATTTGATATTAAAAGAAAAATATCCAAATCAACAAATTTATTACCTTTCTACACTTTCTGAGTTTATTGAAAATTTTTGTTTATTTACAAGGATCCATTTTAATAAATTATCCAGTTTCTCCTCAGTATGATCCTGGATTATCATATCATTGTAACCGACATTTAAATTGAAATGAATTTCCGATTTAGGCATGCACAGGTATTTTAATTCTCGAGCGTCATTGTAAAATTCTCTGTTATTCCCTAAAGATAAACAACCCTGTTCTTTTGGTTCTCTAAAAAATGGAAATGTTTGATCGTAATCCAATGGTTCTTTGACTGAAAAATATTTAACATCTTCGCAATTCATGCTCGTCATTTTATCGACGATTTTATTTACGTCGATAATTTTATAAACCAATAATATGACTAATATTTATGCCGAATCGCTAGAAAATAAACCGCCTTCTGATGATTAAATTAAAAGTCACTTCAACTCATTATATCAACGAACATGTAATCCACGTGACTGCGCAACAACTCACGTGGCGTCAATAACGAATAGTATTCGTTCTTAGTTTTGGATTTTTTCCGACAGAGGGCGGGAAAGGTTCCACCAAAAATTTATTAACATATTTATTTATATATTAATTTATTCTACCTTATGATATATAATTAAAACGTATTTTTTTATTAAAGTTACAAAATATAAAAACAAATATTTTGTCTAAATATTTACTATGGCAGCAAGCTTGAGAAAAGAAAAAACATTTAACAGAGGGGAAAGCATGACGATCGGTAAAAAATTTTTACTCTTTTATAAAATCCGTCCCGACCCTCAAAATTAAGCTTTCTGCCATTTTATAATTAAAATTATAAAGTTTTTAAAATATCATAACAGATGGCGCCACATACACAGTTATAAATGTTGCCGGGAAAGTTAAGCAACTGGTTGCTAGATTTTTCTAAGCTATTGATTTTAGAGAAAAAGTGAAGTACATCTTTTTGTTTCTGTAACCGAGACCTACAATTTTTTTTTTTTTTTTAAGAATTCGATCGGATAAACTCAAATTTCGACATTTGATATCATTTAGAGAGAGAAAAAAGTGGTCAGTTGCAGCTAATATTCTAGCGTTTCTCATCATTCATCACCTCTCTTGTTTGACTCCAGTTTTATTTAATAACCATTCATGACTTCCCCTTGTAAGCATGTTTATTAAGGGGATTTAACTGTGTAAATAGTTTATATTTCATTGTGTAAAAATAATATTACAATATTATTTTGTTGAATGAAATGAGAAACAACAAAAAATAAAAAAAACCAGCTTTTTATTAAAAACAAAACTTTGTACAATAATAAATATTTTGTTGGCTTTTTATATTTTAAACTGTTCAATACAGTATTTTCACATTATTAAAGTTTAAAAGCAGATTTTATTGCATATTTCTCTTCATTAGACAATGGCTGAAGATTAAAACCTATCAATGGTGGTTTTCCTTCCATATCATTCAATTTTGCTACTTTTTGTTTTAAATTATTTGAAAGATTACCAATTTCTTCTTTTAAGTGTGTTTGCTCTGAAAAATAAAAATTTGTGATATAAATGCATAACCTAAATAAATGTTGAAATTTAAGATTAAGACAATGTTACATTGTAACATTTTCTAAAGTATCAGAAAATATAAAGAACATTCTAATATATAAAATTTTAATTTTAATTATTATTGTAATTTATAATATATATTATGTTCAGAACAGTCTTTTGATGTCAATAATTTCTACAAAATACAAAAATGGAAACATCTTTTACCAAATCCAATATGACAATCCCAATAATGTTAATGCTGATGGCTAAATTATTATTAAATTTTAATCAGTGGTGATAGAAGATAAGTACAAAAAAACTATAAGATAGATTTATAACATTGGGTCAGCTATTTACAAAAGCAAAAAACTTATTTACATTTATGAATGAAAATACTGAAAAATGAACTTACTACTTAGTGTTGCATTTTTACAGAAAATTAATTAATCATAGTTACTGATTTACATTGCAGTTATTATCCTAAATAAAATAGAAAATTTTGTCTTGTATGTTCTGCATGATGTTGATGATGATAACCGTTGGGACATTTTACCTCTTAATTATTTCAACCATGTATTATCAGATAGAAGTGTAATGCATGTACTTAGAAAAAAACAATCTATAACATATCAACTACATTTTTAAAAACAATGATGTAGCAAATTGTATTGCAAATGTATGCTTGCCCCAAACATTAAATTCACCACTTATTTCTCAATAGATTTGTTATTTTGAGATAATTGTTTTATGCATAATTAGCTTTTCTACAAATCTGAATTTTTTTTCCCTCAATAGTTAAAAATTTTAATTGTTTTTATCTTGAAAAGTAAATCAAAGAAAGAATAGTAATTATTGGATTCAGTATAATTGACTTTATATATTATGTAACACTTTCAATTCTGAGTTTAGATTTTTTAATAATGTAATTTTCACACACAATATATATTAAAAAATTAATTATTAACAGTCTATCAATAGTATTAGTTTTTTTAAATTAATTTTAAATACAGACACATAGTAGAGAGTACATTGAAGCAAACTGGATTATTTTTTAAAATTAAAATATACCAGAAAGAACAAAAAAAAAAAGAAGAATAATAATAATAGATTTAAAATAATTAATAATTTCTGTGAAAAAATATTTAAATCAAGCTATAAAAATGACTAATTGAAAATGAGACAGCTTATTATCTTATTAGATTCTTTTTACTTTTTAGATCAAGATTAATAATTTATAAAATTAAAGAATTTGATTGTTCAATTACATATTTTCTAAATCATAAAAATTCACATTTATCACTCTTTGTTCACTTTATGTAATTATTAGTAAAGCTACAACCTTTAAAATTTCATAGAAAAGTTTTTGTTGAATATGCTAAATATTTTCTACTTTTAAGAATGAAATAAAATATTCATATAACCTGTCTAACTTTATATCAGAGAAATAAAATTACCTTTCTCCAAAATTTCTTTTACTTTTGGTTTAGGTAACTTCACAAACATATTGCCAAAACAAATCCAACATTTCTTTTCTGTAGAATTATTTTTCATTTCTTTTTTCAATGCACTAAAAATAAATGAATAGTAATAATGATTTAATTATGCAAAATAATTCAATTAAGAAAGGATTATCTCTAGATGTAGTCAAATCTTTATGATACAATAAAGTTTACAAACTTTTTACATAAATTTTAAAAAGTATAATTTAAATAAGTTTGACATAGAGGAGTTGTTATTTTTTAAACACATCATTAAACTGCTAAAAGTCATTTTATGAATTTTTAAATATTATTCTTACTAGCATTATTATTTTATGTTGAATAATGTAAATAAAACAATTATAATTATTTTATATTTTATATATTATTATTTTATAAATTAATAAAAAGTGCCTTAAAATAACTTTTAACTTATATATGTGTTTTAGTTACATTTTTAGAAATTAGAAGTTTTATCTTGATGTTTGAATCCATTATAATTTATGCAATGATAAATTTAAGTAGTAGAAAATTTAAGAATATAATGATGCATTAAAAAAAAAAAAAATTACTTTAAATCAAACAGATATTTAGCTTAATTCCATAATCACATATTGTATTCAACTGATGAAAATGAAAAGTAATTCCTGATATTTCATCTGTATGATGATTGAAAACAATAATTTTAATTTCATGTGTTCTAACATATCCATTTTTATTTTAAACTGGTAAGTGGGGGGAGTCTTGATATCCTGCATATGTTATCGGATTTATGTTTTGAGTTATCATGTTCTATTATATAGGATTGTAAGAATTGTGTGGAAGAATTGTTATATTTTATTTTTTAAATTTTAACAGATTAATAACTTTTGTTTATTCTTGTTAAATCTATGACTATATCCATTTAACAATGTCATATAATAATTTATTTAAATAAGCTTTTAAAGTATATTTTGAACTATGGTAGTTTGTTCCAGTAAAAAATAGCTAGCCATGATTTTATTAAGTGCTTTGTAAATTATAAATAAGTTTTCATTAATAGGAAGAATATTTATGTAATTACCTGAGAGCTTCTCTATTCTTATTCCTTCTACAGTCTAAATTCACTACTTGTTCTTTGTCAGCTAAAATTTCTTCTGCCATCTCTTCTACTTCTCCAAGATATTTTAAGGCAAATGCTGTATCACTTGACATGATGATCTAATAATAATAATAATAATAATAATAATAATAATAATAATAATAATACTTAAAATAATTATTTTTACAGTAAATTATAGAATTCTCTGCTAATGTATATATATAAAGTTATGCTAAAAGAAATTGGAACATTAGGGATTTGCATATCTAGTGCCATATATTTATATTCTTAATAGAGTTATTCATTTTTGCTGCAGATATCAATTTACATTATATATTTATTTTTCTATAAAAATTAATTAGTCCAAAACAATATTTATCTTGGAATGATTAGTTCTTGTAGGAGAATGTATAAATCAAGTGTCACAACATAATTCCAGAAATGACTATCTTTATATAAAGATAATAGGTTGCATACAATAATCAAAATTATTATATGCAACCTAAGGATGAAAAGATACAACTCATTATCCATATATAATATTGATTTTAATAAATTTGAATATTTAGCAATAACTTTAGTGCCACTGTATACACTATACATGGACATTTAAGAACTTCATAGAATTATATTCAAAAAATCAATGTCAGGTAATATTTAAAAATTTTAATTTTTCTGTTTATTTTTTTGAAGGAATCTTAAAGAGTAAAGAAAGGATAATAAATTAATTTCTTTGTTCTTTATTAGAGCTCTTTATTATGTTAAATCAAATGTTATTGTTGCATATTAAATGATAAAGTTTATGTAAAATTAAGTGCACAATGTACAAAGGGCTGTTTTTTTAAATAAGGTCTGTTTGTGAATGAGCGTGAGAATGAAGCGCAATTGTGGCAGTGTATATGTGTGTCTGCTTCAAGCACGCTTTGAGCACATTTAGACATCATTTGCAGCCATATCATCTGTCCGTGTGCTGAGCTGTAAAAGTTTATAATATTTAAGAAAACAGAGTCACCTGCTGACTGTGAGATACGATCTGTTATTCGATTCTTGAGTGCAAGAAACTTGGCAGCAGTGGAAATTCACTGTCAGATTTGTGAAGTTATGGTGACAATGCTATGAGTGACAGTAAAGTTCAAAAGTGGGCAAGAATGTTCAAGGACGGGCAGGTTAATGTGCATGATAAGCTGGCACACCCTGGCAGACCACCTCTGATTTCTGAAGATTTGGTTTGTGATGTGGATAACAATATTCAAAAGGACAGACAATTCATGATTTCAATGTTTTCAATTGAATTTCCACAGGTTTCAAGATCAGTTTTGTATACCGTTGTTTTGGAGAAACTGAATTATCAACAATTGTGTTCTCGGTAGGTTCCTGCTTTCTGACGATCACAAAACAAAAAGATTGGGCAGTGCTTTATTGTTTTTGACTCTATATAATCAGGAAGAAGATGAATTGTTGGACCACATTGTTACAGGAGATGAGACTTGGATGTCTCACATGATTCCTGAGTCCAAGCAACAGTCAATGGAATAGCGATGCACATCTTCACCAACCAAAGTGATGCATATTGTGTGATCTTGAAAAAATTCCGGCGTGCCATACAAAACAAGCGGTGCGGTCTACTGTCTTCTGGTGTGATGTTGCTCCATGACAATGCAAAGCCACATGTTTCTGCACAAACACAAGGTCTAATCAGTTCTTTTGGATGGGAACAACTGGATCATCCACCTTACAGTCCAGACCTTGCATGCAGTGATTTTCACTTGTTTCAATACTTAAAGGAGTTTTTGGTGGTTAATGGTTCAACGATGACGAAACTACAGTCATGGATTGGGCTTTTTCACAGGCAGCATATTTCTTTGAAGTCAAAATTCAAAAAAATTGTTGAGCGGTATGACGTTTGAACAAAAATGGAAATTATGTAGAAAAATAGATAAATGTATGTAGAATATGGGAAAAAATATATTTTATGATATTTACAGTATTTTTCTTATTAAAGAAATGGGCCTTGTTTAAAAAATAGCCTTCATAATTATGTTCAGTTGAATATAAAAAACTCAAGGAAAGAACAAAAAATTAATAAAAAGTGCTAGAAAGCATTTTGTCATTAGTTTTTAAGATAACTGGTTATCTTAGAAACTAGATAATAGATTATCCAGTGAAATGTTAGAAATTTTGTTGGAAATTCTATAAGCTTAATAATATACAATATTATTAATGTCTTACAGACAAATTTAGAAAGAAAATTTAAGATTAATTGTAAAATATATATGTAGATTTTTAATAAATGTTCATATTTTTAAATGTATTCTTTTTCAATTGTTCTCTTCCAGATGATGTTATAATAAAATCAAAAGTACTCAATTACAGCAGCATATCCTCATTTAATGTTTTCTTCATAATGTCATTGAGGAAAGATACAAATACATTGGTAATGATTTACAATTATTACTTCTGAACTTTCCTTATGAACAGTAAATGATTGTATGAGGTTGAAAATATGATTAAAAAAAACAACTCTTGTTAATATTATTTAGCATATAGTAAAACTGATTTTATCATCAGTTATTTTATTTAACATTGCAATTTCTAATAATCTATTGATGATATTACACAAAGAAACTAATTTTCAATGTTTTTTCTTAAAGTTTCATTTGCAAATAATTTATCTTTTTTAGTTATTATACTTTTAAACAGATCATAAACATACTTTGATATGAAACCATTAATAAAGTATTAAGTAAATTTCACATTTAGGAAATAGTTACCTAAAATTATTATAATCCAATAAAATACTGTTCTTTTGAAAAGTCTATATAAAAATCATACATAATTTAAAAATCTATAATCTTATTTTAGAAATTCAGAAAAATAGTATTATAAAATTTCAATAGATATTACTAGATAAACCAACAGTTAACAGCAATTTTTTATGTTGCAATAGTTTCTGGAAAAAAGACTTTCTAAAAGAATATGACGATTCAAATATATTTTGTATTTTTAAATCCTGATGACTAGACATTCTTATATGTTAATTTTTTGTTCTTTTAAGAAATAAATTCAGAGTTTAATAAAATAAAAATAATATAATTTTAACTATATTTCAAATAAAAAGAAATTATGTATGTGAATAGTACCATCATATATATTGTATTATTTAACATTATTAAAATACATTTTATTTTAAATAAATTTACATATGTATTTTAATAAAATTCTCTTCTAAAATTTATTTCTTTTTGTCTCTTCTTTTGTTGCTCTTTGAAACGTTCTCGTTTATTTAAAGTATTTTGTCGAATATTAACAGGAACTTGAGTCTTTCTTTCAATTGCAGTAACATCAAACGGTTTGAAGTGAGTTATTCGAGGAACATTTTTATTTTTATTACCAAGACACGATCTATCATGTTTTAAAACTGTTTTTACTGGATACTTATTTCCAATGCCTTTTGGTCCTAAACCAGTATTTCTATCCCAGCCTTTTTTTAGCATTATCTGAAACCCTTTATTATTCTCAGAAAGATGATAATAACTACAATTTGTAGATCTCCTAATATTTAACTGATGAATAATAGAACTTTCATGTTTTTGTTTATTTTCTTTAACTTCAATCTTGCATAGTTCACAAAAGTAAATTTGAGTAAGATCCATCTGTTGTGATTCACTTTTAATATTCACAAAGTCTCTCTCTAACAATTCAACCACTCGATCGTGTTTAAACTGCAAAGCCAAATCAATTGCTTTCTTTCCAGCAAAATTACGCATTTCTCTATTAGCAGACTTTCTTAATAAATACTTTATCACAGACACCGATCCGGAACACGCAGCACACATTAACGGAGTCCATCCGTAACTATCCGCACAATTAATATTAATACCAGAGTTCAGACATTCTTTTATTCCTTTCAAATCATCATTTTCTGCATATCTAAATATATCGTGTGGCTTAATTTTAGTATTTGAAGATGATTTTTTTACATTTTTTAATTTCTTTTTGTTAGAATCACAATATTCTTGTGTTGGTAAGCAGACTGAAGGTGTATTAATAATCTCTTCGTAAAATTCACGTACTTCATTTCCATCTAATGATACATTGTTATTGTTATTACTCTTAACTTCTTTATTCGTTGAATTTAATATTTCTGTACCGTTGATAAAAGTCACTGGCATAAATGGAAACGACGTATGAAACATTTTGTGATGTTTACCAGATAACACACATACAATTATTGTCATTTCATTCCCATAATTGATTCTAAATACGTAATATATAAAAAAATCTTAAAAATGATCACCAAAAAAAAAACATTTAAATAATTTATAAACTTACAAAATTAATTTTCAATAATCAATTGTAAATAGGCCTTGCTAAATACTGAAGTTACAACCTTATCTGTGTTTTTAAGTGTTGCCAGATCATGCCAATAAAAATTTTAAATAATTTTTAAACAGTAGTATGACGTTATTTAATTAAAAAAAAAAAGTAAAGAGAAAAGGAAATATTAAAAACTTGATATTTTAATATTTGAATAATAATAATAATATATAATAAACAGAAAAATTTAATATATTCTTTATTTTGTCGCATTTAAGCATGCCTTCACGATCGAATTTCTTGAATGTAAAACTTGTATTCGCGCTACTATCAGGGCATGCGGTAGATTTTCTCAGTATGATGCTAGTCTTCGAAATGCCGCCTCTTAAATGTCGCTTATGCCATGCTGTTAAGCTGCCCCTTTACGGTGCCGCCTCTCTGCATCATAACACGGCAAGGTCCTGGCTACTATGATAATGTAGACTAAATAATTTGTCCTTTCAAAGTTCTTGAATTCAAGAATTCCAAAAGCAGAATGCTATTCTACTAGATTCAAAATCTCGAAATCTCTAACCAATTGAGACAAACCATTTTTGTCACTTGATGAAATGGCAGTTTGGAGGAAGAAGAACGTGTGAAAAGATTTATAATTGCGTATCAGTTAAGGTCTAATCTCTGAAACACGGATTTCAGTTATATTACAAAAGAAATAAAAGTATGGAGTAGTTTACAGAATTAGTAGACATTCTCATGCAACGTTAGTGATAAAAAAATTAATTAATTAATTAAATACAATACTCTCAGAACTCAGTATTCGGGTAAAAATTTTAAAATTTCTAAATCCGAAAACGTATCTCAATCACTTTTACGATTATAATTTGTGGAATTTTTTACTTCGATTCCAGTGGAGGGCAAATACCCCGTTTGTCCCCTTCTAAGACTAGTTCGTCAAATAATGTTCATTTATTGAATCTCAAAAGTGCTATATAATCGTGTAGACAATATTATTTTCAAATTTTTTTTATTTCAATTTTTTTATGCAAGAAATTTGATCGTTTAGATGGCATTTTAGTTAGGGTGGCTGATAATACTTTGCCGCGTTCAGTAAAACAGAATGCTAAGAAATATAATAGGCTAGATGGGTGAATCTAAGAAGGAAATTTCGTTCCGAAAAATTCTTGGGTTTTTTCGGCGTCCGGATTCTATATCGGGTCTCCAAAAGCGATGCGATCTGCCAACTTAGCCTCTCGGCCATCTGGCCACTCCCTATGGCAGTAAGATGGCCCTTATTCAAACCCAGCGTGAATTCGGTCAGTTCCACAATGAGACAAATTGCACATGATAAATTTCTGGTAAGTTGCACGCTTGGATACTGTCTTGGGTTTCTAGAGCGGTAGGCTAAAGCCTTATAAAAAAAGTACCAAGGCTGCGCGCGCCCTGGTACGACAACTTTGCTGTAGGCACTAAGAAGGCAGCAAAGCAAAATCTGCAGCGATAAAAAGAGCCTGTTAATGGGACTGCTTTTTAGCAGGCCCATTATGAGTTTGGCCAGGCCACAATAGGACGGCTGGATGGTGAGGGACGGGGCCCAACATATCCGGACAAACCACACCCTAAAAAATTCATAGGTTTTTCGACCTGTCCGGATTCGATTTCGACTCATCCAGAGCTGTAGGCTGCAATCTTAACTACTGTACTTGGCCATCCGGCCGTGACTGACGATGGGTATGGAAAAAAATCTTCTTAGTGGGCACAAGGCGGAAAGAGTCATATTTTTCATGCTTATGTAATTAAATAAAAATATTAAATTATAAATTGTATTATAATTTTATTTAATAATATTTTAATTAAGATATTAATACAAATAAATTTATTCAACTGAGACAAAATAAACGGAAACGTAAATAATATCTTTTCAACATGGCTCCGTAGTAGAGTTGTACACGTGTTCGTTTGTTTTCTTTTTAACGCATTATTGAGAAGACACGAAAATGGAAATGAAAAAGAAATCAGAATATGAAACAACCATTTTCGATCTCGACATTTTACATTTTAACAGAATGGGTAATTTATTTAATAATAATATATAATGCTATACTGTATTAGTTTATACGTATTATATAATGTATGATTATTTTATAGTAGTACTTTAAGTAATTATTTCAATGTATATCAGTTTTGCTTTACATAAGATTTTGTCATCATAAGATTTAAAATCTTAATTGAAATTATCCATGAACAGTTGTGATGTATAAATTTAAATTTGAATGAAATTAATATACAATGGAAACGCTTTTAAATTAATTTCAGTGTGCATTTTATTAAAATTAAAGTAAGGTTGATATATAAACATAACTAACCAAAAGCTGCTTAAGTATATTCATTATATAAATATTTTGTAAAAGTTCTCTCTGAACTAAATAATTTGTGAAGTTAAAGTTAATAATGAGAAATTTGCAAAGTTAAAAAGAAAAAAGTGAAGAAAAGGAAATTTGATTAATACGTGAAATAGCATGTCTAACAATAACTGCACAAGACTCATTCCCTTGCTTGGCGATATCTTAGTCTTTCACAACAACTGCTACCATCATAGTATCCCTTACTTGTTTACTGTATTAGTGTCTTTCTCACCTTTCATTCCAACACTGGCATTCCACTTTCAACTCTCCACACTTGAAGGTTTAACTGGGTTGAAAACATTAGCATTATTTAAACTTCACCCATTGTTAATGCATTGATTAATTAAGCCATCACAAATATTTTCAGCTAAAAGTCATGTTTTATGAAATTATTTAATGTATAAATTAACACAATATAAAGTCAATATAAATGAACACTATGCTAACTGATGTTTCCAAGTGTTGATTTGCCTATTGTTAGAGTTTCCAACTCTCCTGGACTTGCCTGGAGACTCCTAAAACTTGGTAAAAATTTTAAAATTCTCTGACTACTAAACTGAAGTCTATTCTTTGCATAGTTAGTTGACAAGACAAACAACTTTTGATTTATATATTAAAACACACTAAAGAGTAGACAACAATGCTTTGATATTGCTGAGAGAAAAAAATGTCAGAAATTTTCATTCATGAAATGGAAATCTCCCCAAATTAACTCTTTAGGAGTTGGCAAGCTCACCTACCATACATCACAAATACAATTGACAAAGAAATTTACAACAATTTTAGATTTCTTTTTATTTTTATTTTCTTTAAAATATATATATAACTTTACTGATATAGTTTAAATTACAGAGCCTTTCTCCAAATGCAGTGTGCTAAAGACCATTTACATGTAACATTTTATTGTCAGTCTTGTGTGATCAAGACTATAGAAAAATTTATATAAGACTGATGCAAAATAGATGAACCACACTATTCACTTTTTTGCTTAGTCTCTTCCAGAGAAACTGGGTGAAAAACTATTATTAACAATTATTTCATTGTGTGGAGTTAAATTGAAAAATAAGGAAGTTGCACATTGGTTAAGGTTGTCTTAGGAATGGTTATTAAACAGGAGAAAATTATATTGTGTAAATTTGATATGTTAATTACAACAGAAGTGATAACATTGGTAAAATTATTTATGTATGGATATGGACCAGTTTCAATCAACAGTAGTGATGGAATGTAGCAATGAGAGCTGAGTCTATAAGATATCACAAAACTTGTCTTCCAGGACTATTTTTATGAGTGGTAGGAGTGTTGGCAGAACTGTGTAGCTGCAGAAGGAGTTTATTTTTGAAATAGTGTAGTATGGATTTTGTGTGTGTTGTATAATAAAACCTATGCCAAAAGTTTGACTTATTTTTACTCTATGTTGTATTTGAATATATCAAATATGTTACATGCTTAATGCTGAAATTATTAAAGCTGATAAGATCATTGGATCTTAATTTCAGACAAAAGTAATAATGAATAATTCATTTGCTATGAATTATTCATTGTTACTTTCTTCTAGGAAATAGCATCAGTAATATCAAGAACTATTAAAAAATTGCTTCATCAACATCCAACAGGTTTTCAAAAATTAATTTAAAAAATGTCTTCTGTAAAATTTATGTAGTGAATGAGAAACTCACTTGAGTTGCAGTCACCTAGCATAACTGTTTGATGAGCAATAGACATTTTGCTATAACTCACACATTTTAGTGACAATTTTAAAGTAAAAATAAACCATTGAATTAATGTAAGCATAATATGAATAATATAAGTAAGAATTATTACATTTAAGGAATGCTTTATGCAAATACTTATACTCAGTGTGGTGTATCCAAGGATACACTATGCAAGTAACTTTGCCCATAGTGTGAAGTTACTTGCATAGTGTGGGTAATAGCAGTAAATTTTGAATAGTTTTTCATGGCATTTTGCAGGAACAGAATAATAGCAAGCATATTTGTTATTTGCTACACATCACAAGAGGCTTTTTGTAGAAATTACATTGTTCATAAAATCAAAGTATGAACAGAAGTTCAAGATGTATTGGAATTGTAGACCTCTTCTTGTTCCTATGTCACCTCTAATTTCATTTAGTAAAGTGGTTCCCAAAGTGGGTGCTGATTAAATATGGGGAGTAAAAATAAGCAAGTGGGCAGTAGGGGGGGACACTGGAGGCAGGGTACTAACCAAACAGTTACCATAGGCAAGGGTTGGGGTCACTGATAACCTTTCCCTTTCCTCTATTAAAACAAATAAGAAGAAACATTGCATTTAATGGTTTCTAAATGTGGAGAACATTGTGCGATAAGGACAAAAGTGTGAGGTTTGTAGAAAAGTTTTTCTAAGAATATTTCCAAGACTTTCTCACACAAGGGAAAGGGGGTGTTGGATATAAGTTTTTGGAATCAAGAGGGAGGTGACTTGAAAAAGTTTGGGAATCACTGATTTAGTAGATAAATGAAAGTTTGTTTTGATAGCTGGTATCATAACACAAAATCAATATCATTGTGTACTATGAGAGGGTTTTGAGAATCTTTCACATAATGATAATTAAGGTACTGTACCTCTATTGCTATTTCATACTACTCAACCCTATTAACAGTATCTTTTGAGTATATCCATTTTTACTCTCTTTTTAAGTACAAGTTAAAATAATCTAAAGAAATGGTACAAAATAATTTGATTAAACTGGAGAATTAACCAAATGAAAGAAGCAATACACCTTGTATAAATCTAACAGACATAAATACACCAGAAATATCCAGCACAAATTATACTCACTAAAAATAAAAAAAAAAAATTTCAACTATTTTTAAAGGTTAAAATCAGTCGAATGTGAAAATTCAAACTTTATTTTAAAATGAATGGAGCAATCATTTCATTGGCTGGAAAATGCTGATGTCAAAAATGACAACTATTTTTTTAATAAGATTTAATTTATAGTCTTACTTCAAAAATTAAATCTTAATACACATTGATGTTCAACTGACTTTAACCTGAGAATGATAATTTAAAAATTATCAAAAACATTTGCTTCTTCTTTATTTTTAGTAAGTATAATTTGTGCTGGATGTTTCTGGTATATTTATGTGCATTGGGCTTAATTAATCCAGTTTTACTAGTACGTATTTATTGTTAACTCCAATAGATCTCTAAGAAGCGAATTACATTACACTATATTTCCACATTATGATAAATACACAAGGAACTGGCTAAAATGAACAATGTAAACCTTTTCTATAAGTGTAATTTGATGGTTTTCAGAATTCTGTGACAACAAGAATCTACTTTGCTACACTAACTCCTTGAGTGTTTACACCATTCCAATTGAGGACCAGCACTTTAACACACAATTAACATATGTGGAAGTTACCCTACTACAAAGAATTAAGGAACACTAATATATCATTGAAAAAAATTCTGAACACCATGGTTTTAGTGGTTTATGTCTCTTAGCTGGAGATCCCAGCTATGTATTTATTTATTTCTTATATCCTTTGTATTTGAATTGTACGAATGTTCTATTGATTTTGAAAATTCCTCCCATTCTTTTTAATTTAAATTATTTCCATTGATTTAATGTTTTTTAAATGTTCTGTTTGTTCTTTTTTTAAGTTTGATATTCCAACTGAAGAAGGCCTATGGAAGTAGGTCAAAAACATCTTTGGTTAATTAAATATATTGCTGAAGTTATACAAGGTGTATTGCTTCTTTTGTTAAAGAAATGGCGTATCAATATATTTATGTATAATATGTTTACAAAGATAGAAAACAGACAAAAATTGCAAAAATGAAGATACAGTATTTATGTTTATCTACTTTTGACTGATGATATACACTATACCAGAAAAGCCTGTTTTGTTTGAGGCTAATGAAGACAGCTGCTGTTCTACAGCCACTCTTCTCAGTTTATGAAATATTGTACACTTTATCTCTAGTCATGGCTTGTTGGTGATTTACATAATGATCTGATGATGTGTTTTATGTCATAAAGTTATGACTCTGATTCAAAAATTGAGAAATTTTGTACTGTCCTAACAGTAAATCTAAAATAAATTAATCTTTAGGAATTTTGTAGAAAATTGTAATATAATTTTATGTATTTTTCTATATACTTATATTAAAAGTTTATTTTGAATATTATTATATTATTGGTAGAGTTTGTTGTATCACACATTATTTATTTATTGTTTTTATTCATTAGATTGGGACATATTTAGAAAAAATTGAGCCAGAGGCTACAGAAATAGAAATTGCAATAATTGAAATTTTACCAATGATGTACATACAAACCAGTTCTAGAAGTCCTCTGAAAAAAACTTTATCTAGGTATCAATGTATTTTAAAATATACTAACATAGTTTATTCATAAATAATTTTGAATCAATTTATCTTTTATTTATATTGTATTAATTAATAAAGTTTTATAACAACAAAAATTAAATAAAATTCATTTCATAATTGTTTTTGTTATAAAATAAATATTTTTATTAATTTTTACTATATTTTTACTTTAATAATCTTATAATACAGGAAATTTCAATTTATGTTTCAATTTGTTTTTTTAAATATAGTATTTTGAGAAACATTCCTGATTATCACAATGAACGAATGAATAAAGCATTAAAAAATTATCTTGATTTGATTTGTACATCTGAAGATTTATCATTGTCTTCAATAAAACACACTACTGAAAACTTACATCTCTGTATGGATAATTTATATATTGGTAAGTTTAATTTTAATAAATAAAAATAACACACATTAATTATTAAAAAAATAATATTTATTTCAAATACATAGAAGTTTTAAGCTTGATGACTGGATATAAAATAAATAAAAACTTTTACTATTTAATAATTTATATTATTAATATTTGTAAAATGAGAATGTTTGTTTATTTGCTAGAGGTAATTTCAGAATCTACTGAACTGATTTTTAAAATTCTTTTGTTATTGGAAAGCTTATTCCTTCCAAATGAACATAAGCTATATATTGTTTTCATATCAAAAAAGAAAAATGCATGAGAAAGTTGATTTTACTGTGTCATTTGTTTGCTCCATTTAAGGTCAATAATAATAAGTTTAAAAAAACCCACCTGGTGGGCCTTTTTAAACTTATTATTATCTATTTGGTTTTGGGTACCCTAGGGAAAGACAGACTACCATAAAATTTGGATCCCTGCTTCTCCTTTCTGATTTCATTCCCCTTCTCTCAAGTGCCCAAACTTTTTGAGTGATCTGGATGAATTTTTGATAGTTACTTTCTACAATCCTCCAAAAAAATATACACTACTTTAAAACTTGGACTGTCAATCTTTTCCCCTGATTTCATCCTCACAAATTGCCAAATCCTTTGACTGACTTAGACCAAATTTTGCATTGTTACTCTCTGCCTTCCTGAGAGAAACATATGCTTGTTACTTATAACAAGAACAAATTCAAACCATGCTGGGCATTCCTTGCTAGTAGATTTATATAAGAGTGTTTCTGACTACTTTCATTGTCCATTCTAGCCATTATTTGAAGATAATTAATGAAATTATCCAAAAACATTTGTTCATGTATAAATTTGCTGGTAGAAATGAAATTGTTTTTGTTTTAATTTGTATAATATTTATTTAATTTGTTATTGTTAGTGATTATAACAAATCAAGAAAACACTATTTGAAAATGAAAATTTTTATAATTTATTACAGGAGATATTTATACTGTATACATCAATCACAATTTATGAAACTTTTTATTAAGTTTTTTGAGAAAAACAGCATTTCTTTTTATTTCATTATTTCAACAATAAACAAAGTAATGGAATGATTTTTATGATGTAAATGAAGACTTACAATATCATAAAAGTTTAGAATAATCAGATCTTATTAAAATATATTAAAAGTAATTAGAGTACATTAAACAAAATATTGTAAATAATTGACAGTTAATTTTTTTTGTGATCTGTAAATAGAGTAATGTGAATTTGAGAGAAAAATTTCAAAATAATATATTAAGTTTATTTTCATCAACATATGAAAGTAAGTAACAATAAGTATTTATAATTTTTTAATTAACAGTTAATTATTAATTATTTTGTAATATATAAGAAGCTATCATATAAAGACCATAAATTACTGTATAGTAATTTGCAAATCTTTACTTGATAATTGTGTGAAGCAATCTTTATGGCAAACTTAACATCTGATGAAATTCTCTTGTCAACATCAATTTCAGGAAAATCTGATTTTAAATATTGGAAAAAATTTTTTGAAGTCCACTTTTGCCATGAAGACTGTTAAACTTTAACTAATTCTGCCATTACAACAATAAAAAGAAAAATATCGAATATTAACTTCAAAAAATTATTACAATAATACCGAGAAACAAATCTTTGAAACATAATAATAAAATAACAATAAACAAGTTTATAAAATGTTAAGAAATTAATCTAAAAATCAAATGATGTTAGAAATGATGAAAATTATTGACAGCGACATCTAGATTAAAATACAAAATAGATTTGTTGTTGAGATTCCAGAGGTGCCGCCATCAGGTTTACCTAACTACACTTTAACTAAATTTTTTCATTAAAACACGGAAGTTTTACTTTATTTTTTAGTGAACACGTTACAATGCATAAAACAGTTTTTAAAATGTTAAATTGTAGGTTAAACAGAAAACAGACAATAAAAATTAATTTACACAAAAATTTTTGTATTATCAAAAACCAGAACTGGCAGAAAAAGCCATTGCATTATTGGAATTGTTTTGTCTGCTAGAGATGTACAGGGTGTTCATAATTAAAGTCCATATTTTAAAAAGATATAACTCAAGAACTAATCAGTAGAATGATGTCATATTTCACACAGAGACTTTTATAGTGATGGAATTTTATTTAAAAACAAAAAAAAGTTAGTTACAAAAATGTCTGCTAGGGCAGTAAGTGGGACTGGAATGCCATAGTAAATAACTGAATATGTCTCAGAACTTAAAATACACTTGGTACACAACAGCTTGATCAATATTGCTGGCTTCCATTGTTGGCAATATGCTGAAATTGCCAAATTGCATGTTTAGTGACAGCACTCAGAGTTTTGAAGGACAGCATGTTGAGCATACTGTTGTGTAACAGTACAGCATACTATGTGCATTGTAAGTTTTGAGACATTTTGAGTTATTAACTATGGTGTCACAGTGCCACTTACTGATTTAGCAGGCATTTTTGTAAGTAACTTTTTTGTTTTCAAATAAAGTTTCATACTCAAAGAAGTTTCTGTGTGAAGTGTAATGTCATTCTTCTGATTAGTTCCCAAGTTATATCTTTTTGAAATGTAAAATTTAATTATGAACACCCTGTATATAAGTTCAAATTTTGTGTATGAAAAGTGATCCAGGGATATCATAATATCATGTGTGAAAGAACAAGTAGTCTGAAAGTCAAGGATCACTTGTATTTATATAATCTTTAGATAAATGAATTGTCATAATTTTTAGCTCTATATAATAATTGAATATAAAATTAATTGACATAATAATGAACACATAAAAGTATACATTAAAGTGATAATTATTAGATGAATAAAGATATAAAATATATGTTTATTTGATAATTATCATTTAATTAATTATGTGCTTATGTAATAAAAAATGAACAGTAATAATAATTTTTGATATATTTTCAGGTAATAATTACATTTTAGAAAATTATGTAAATGGTAAGTTAAGATTAAATGGTATATGAATTTAACAATAATGACATAAAGTTAATTTAAATTTTAATTTACATCAAGTATATAATAAACCATGTGTTTTTATTATTATTATTTACATTAAAAACAAATGTAAAAAATTATAGAGAAAAACTGCACAAATTGCATATTATAATAACTATTCAAACAAAAACATCTGCGGTGTAAAAAAGTTGCACTAAGTAAAAAATAATGACAATTTAGATGATTGTGAAATTTTTACTTATGAATTTTTCTTTGGTAAAGCTAAGCTTAATGCTTCAAAGCATTACCCACAAGATTTTTATTACTTTCCTACATTTCACTTTGAAGCTTAATTAAGTTTTTGTAATTAATAAACTAAGGATTGAGAGAGACAGCAGTGATTCTAAGCCAACTGAAAAAGTTGCTGAGAAAAGTATATATACAGGAATCAGAGTTACCGAATTTGGGATTCGCGATTTCTTCACCTCCAAATGCCTATAGCAATTCTGAATATCTTGTTCAAAAAGACAATTGTTTTCTTAGGTGGTGTGCAAAATTTCAGGTTTCTCAATAAAGGGATTGCTGAAATATAAGCAATCAAAAAGTGGAAGGTTTGCCAAAAAGCTGTATTTTCTTTTTTTCTTCATCTGGCATTGCAGATGCTCCTAGGGGAAAAACTACTGGGTCTAGAAAGCTCAAATCTCTCTCATTATCAGTGAGGTGCTCACTAAACTTCCAGGTCAATAGGTTAAAGTTTTAGTTACTTTATTGATATTTACATTTTAGTTATGAAAACAAATTTAAATCTTGTAAATAAAAGGAAATTTTGTCTTTGTGGCAGTGATGTATCAATGTGAAGCTTTTGTAGACATGTTTGTGTTTGGATTTTGTGGTGTTGAATTTTGTCATCTTTTATCTGAAGTTTTTTGGGAATCTATCTTTATTTTATTTACATACTTTTCTACAAACTTGTTTTATTGTATTTTATTTTAAAAAATTACAAAAGCCCACAAATTTATTTTAAATGGCTATAAAAATTTATCTTAGCAAATGAATCTGTGATGTTCCTGTCTATAGACCAAGCCACCTCTGAATATACAACACATTTAACTTCATATTTGGCTACTTTTATTTTGGAAATAGTAAATTAATAAAACTATTTGATTATTAAGAACATATGATCTAAATAATGATGTGCAATTAGCTAAAATTTACTGTGTAATTGGTGTCCCTTCACTGAATACTGGTAATTTAATTTATAATTTCTGATGTAAAACCTACATGAATATTTTGAAAGTATTAAAAAAATCTTAATAATATTATTTCCCATTTACAATTTAATGTTTCTTTAAAATATAATTATTGTTTTTCAAAATATATCACTTTAAATTGTTTTGTTACAGATTGTTCTATTAAGAATTACTTTCTTCATTCTTTGAGAGAAATTTTTTAACCTTTGCAAATATTTCTGTAAAATAAGATGAAAAATCTGTATAAAGACACATAAGTAAATCAAAATTTATTTTATTAGGACAGGATCAAAAGAAAAATAACAAAATTTATTGAAACTGTAATTATTCAATATTCAATGTGAAAGCAATTATTCAATTTGTACAGTCACTATGTAACAAAAGTGCATATAGTTTTCAAACCTGTTTGATGTTTTCTTAAGAGAGAGCATCAGGTACTGTACATCATCTAGTGAAAATATAAAATAAAATTTAAAGGTTATAAGACTTCACACCATGTTTGTAAATAAATAAATCACTGCTAATTTTAGGAAGCTAACTTTCCACGAAATAAAAATATTTCTAGTTAAAATCTTACCATCCTCAGCTTAAAACCTTTCAAGGGGAGATTATGACATGGTTCTCAGGAATTTCAAGAATATCACTTGTGTGGATAACTTTTGATATGAACCTTTGTTGAGCATAGGAATAAAGTATGCTTCTCAAATGTTTTCAAGAAATTCAAAATTAAAAAATTCTGAGTGACTTATAAGTAAGTTTTTCAGAAAGGCAAGAAAGTTTTGAGATGGAACACAAAAGATTCACAACAGCTTTGAATCTTTTGTGTTCCATCTTTTGTGTTTTATGTCAGAACTTTCTTGCCTTAGGACAACAGTAATACACTGTTGATCCCAGTAATTGTGTGAGTTTTGTTCACTTAAATTTTTTTTAATGCTGATAGTTGCATTTTTTTTATTTTTTCCATTCTTTTCTTTTTTTTAGTTCATTAATCTACTACTATTAGCACTGCTGGATAGCAGTGTTTAGGATTACTCACAAACAGCTCTTGTTTGCAAGCTGCTGAATTTAGGAATATATCCTATGAAATTGAGAATTTTTTTTTTTTTCTAATTGATCGTTGTTAGTACAAATTTTTTATTCATAAATAATGTTTTGTACTTTTGATTTATTTTTAATTACTTAACATAAAATATGACTAATTGATAATAAATTTCAATAAATTTAATTGAATGCAATTTTTTGATTTTTTTTTCTAACATAACAAATAAAATAAACTTTTTGAAATGTTTAGTTTATCATAGAATTAAAATATATCTGTTGTAGATATGTATAGATATATTTAAGTGAAACTTTGATTCATCATTCTTGTAGGGAGAACTGGGAAAACATATCTATAATGGAAGGGTCTATATAAAATAAAATTAAAAAACCAGTCATATTTTCCTTATATATTTACTTAATCAAAAGACTTACTCTCTTTGTAATATGTCTCTGTAATCCAACAAATGGTAATTGTAATGGTAACAAGTGTAATCTAACAAAATCAACAAATTTGCTGTGAGTCCGTCTTTGAGTCCGTCACGTCAGAATTTGCTGTGAGATGTATTACATAGAGATCTAATATACAGCAATCCAGTTATATAGCAAAAGACTTACATTGATAATATTTTCTTCTGCATTGCTTCTTTTTAAAAGAATTTTTATTAATCTTCATTTGTTTAGTAGCACTTTTTTTTTCATACTGATTAATAAACTTTCGATATTCATGTTTGCTTGGTCTTTTTTGGTGATGATGTAAGCATACAAAAACATTCCCACAGAATTGAACTTATAAAGTAATTTGGTGTAAAACTTGTCTCTGGTTTGGGCTCGGATTCATTGTTATCATCACCACCATTATCTGACCCTTCCTCTGTGCAGCTTGTAACTTCCAATTTCTATTTCACCACATATTTCTTCCAGACACAGTACACCAGGCATACCAAGTAATTTTTGAGGTCCTTTGACACCTACATATGTAGGTGTCAAAGTTTATGCTAGCAATTCTTGTTTCCAGTCAAAGAAGTGTCATTTGTCTGAGCCATTGCTGTTTAAGCACAGTAGCACCATCAGTTGCTTCTTCATGCAAGATCTCTCTCTCTCTTTTTAATGACAACATTTATTTAGGCAGGCAGTTGTAAAAGAGGCCCTTTTCATTTGCATTATAGATATCCAGCCTTGTATGTATCTTTTCAACAGCTTTAGTGACATAACTAAAGGGGACTATGACATGACTATACCCCTAAAAAATATAATAGCCTCCAGCTTAGTGCATCAATGCTTGCCCATAATTTTTATTTTTATATATTTTTTTAAACTTGGACTGTATTTAAGTGCTATTGTATTGGAGTGCTAGCTTGCAAAGAGAAAAATACCTGTCATTTGTCATAATCTTGTTTCTTTTTGTGCATTTAACCCTTGTCCTTTGCATTATCAGATAATGTAAACGTATTATTTTTAACAGATTAAATTAATAACAATCACTTGCATCAGTCTTGAAAAAGCAGAATAATTAGAAAGATAAAGTTGAAGGTGTTTATGTAGGCAGTCCTACTAATATTAGGCCTCAACAAGTTTTTCAGCTTGCCCTTCATTTTTAATTTAAATCCCCAATGATTTATATCTGGCTAAAGAATTAAGCAGCTTCAGAATTCTTTAAAATTAGAGGTAAATTGGTTTATATCCACAGAAGCACAAATCCCAGGTCATGGCTGTGCTTTAAGCTGAAAAGCTTTTAATTTCTGTTGCTACAGTTGTTTGGAGGTATTTATTTCCTGCAGGATGGTCCCATCAACAGGGATGCCTGATATTCAGGCCTGCTGGTACCAGGCAAAGAGAATATTTTCCAGCCCATTGTAGGATGACTCCTTCCCTGTCTTTCTCTTCTTACCTACTCATATCAGCCTGCTTTTTGACTTCCCTTTTCTTTGCAATAATTGAACTTAGAGTTGATGTTGGCAAACCTAAATGTTTAACTACATCAATTCTCTTCTCCAATGAGCTTTTCTCTGCCTCTTCTATGATGTGCGATCATTTTTCTAAAAACCAAATTTGTTTCATAGGAAATGCCATATGGAAAATTCTAATGCTAAAGATAATGCTAATAATAATATCAAGCACTGTAGAGGATTGAACACACGTGTTAACCTGCATACTGCATACTTAATTATGAAAGAGTAAAGCAGCAAAATTTCTGTATCAACAATAGTAATTTTTTATGTTTTTGTTACCAAAGGAGGTCAGAAAGTTGCTGAATTTCTTTTTCAGCAGTTGTAAACTTTTAATATTTTGTTTCCAAAAAGCATTAAAAGTCATGGGATTTGGCACTGTTTTGTGTTATAAAGGATTTTTTCTAGCTGGACCTGACCCTCATTATCCTTCCTCCAGTTTGTTCTCACAGATAAGATGCATACAAGGTTGCATATCTACGTATATAGAATCCAACTTGCTACTTGCTACATGCTCCACATGTTCACCTACTGGTATTACTGCTAATTGCGCTTTCTTTAAAAATGATCAATCTGTGATTAATATTCTCCAGGACTAAAAATTCTGACCAATAGAGGCAGGCAAATGGTAAATTGAGAAATTACTGATGTGAGTTTAATTTATATAATTTAAAAAAGATTTCTTCAAGGACCTTAGAAATGTTTCTGGGAAGCAATACATCTGAGAATGGTAGATCAAGGTTTCACTTTATGTTTCAATCAGTCTTTAATAAATATAAATTACATATAAACTTTTTTCTTTTAGTTTTTGCTTTTATCAATAAATCACTTGATTTTATTCTGGAGTCTTTAAGGTAAATTTTAATTTTTAATTTAGATAATTTAAAAATTAAATTATTATTAGTCAAAAAAATAAAAAAAATTTCTTTATAAATAGATTTTTAAAACTGATTTAAAAAATTAACTTCTGACATTAACAGATTAATATTAATTTTGAATTAGAAAACTAAATTTTGTAAAAATTTGTGAAAGCTTCATTTCTTTAAGAATATTTCATACATAGTCATATATGTTTTATATGAATGGACTTTTAATTCTTATTCTATGTATAATCATTGGCTTATAGAAAAGTTGATTTCTTATAATCTTTCTCTAAAATTACAATATTTCAAAACTTGGACTAATGAAAAATTTAGTTAAATTTAAATTTGACTAATTTAAATTAAATTTATATTTAATAATTTTGTTATAATTTATTTAGAATTTCAAAATTATCATATGTTTATTAAAATAATTTTTATATTTTCTGCATTTATACAGAAAGGATATTAGTCCACAAGAGATGACAGATGTATATAATATTTCTCTTAATGTAATTAAAACTTTGACAGTGATTTTACAACAGTTTTTTTTACAACTTCAAAATCATTTGAAGAATAATGATAAGAATTGTATATTATATTTAATAAATATATACAAGTGTCTTGAAAAACTTCTTGCAGAAGGTAAGTGATATCAGCTAGATAATTACCATTTCCTTTCTAATACTGTCAACTTTGTTACAATATTGAACAATATTTTCATGATACTAAATGCAACAAATTTTTTATTGTAATTTATTTTGTTTTTGTCTTTTCATATTTATATTTTCAGATAAATTTTTATATTACTAATGTAATTTTAGGGATCAAAATATACAAACTGTTAGGATCAAGGAATTCATACCAACAAAGATAATTGACTATACATACAAAGATAATTTGTATTTATACTGTTAGTATAAATACAAATTATACTAACAGTAAATTGTCTTCTGAATTGTAATCATTTTGATACTTGGTTATGCTGATAACATAACTGAATGATAATATTAAGCAGGTTAATACTTTTAATCAAGAATAGAGTAAAGTAAATATTTAATTTTATATTACTATTGCTTTTTCTAATTTTACACTGTTACCATCTGAACTTTTGCTTAGTATTAAACAATAATAGTATGAAATTACAAGTGAAGAGTTATCTATATACTTGATTGTTTTATATTTCCATGTTCTTTTCTTATTAATGAAAAGACAAATAAATTTTAAATTGTGCTAATATAATTAACATTGATATTTTTATTTTGCTTTTCAAGGAATTTAAAAATGAAAATTATAAAAATACATTTTGATTGATCTACAAAATAATTCTTAATAAAAATGTTTCAAATTTTGAAAATTATATGTTAGAATTAATTAAAAATTAAATTTATCCTCATAAGAAATATGACAAAATTATTACTTATTTCTTTTTATTATATTTTTCAGAATCTACTTTACTGAACTGTAAAATAAACTGTGGTATTGCATTACCACTCCTTATTAAACTTACAGATATGAAAATAGTAAGTTAATATTATGTTTTAATATAAGTTATAATAATTTAATTATTTATGAAAATATACTGTATATGTGTTAATTATAATCAATATTAATAAAAATTAATTAATAACATGCAACTTACAATCTTAACATATTCATGTTTTACACTGATATACTCATTTAGTCTCGAAAATGATGATCTATTTGTGTTGCTTTGAAATTAATTTCAAAGGATAAAAAATGAGAAGGATATTTTTTTTTATTCTTCTCTAATTTTTGAAATTTGTTTTCTTTATTGTGGGATATATACTGACAAAGGGAGAATTTTAATCCAAATTGGGATGAAAGCTGTGATAAGAAATATGTGGAGATATGTAGACATGAAAACAAGTTTCCTTTATATTTTAAGCCAGTCATTACAAACAAAGGAAAAAAGGAAGCTTACAAGTAGGTTTCTCAAGCTTTATATCATTCAAAATATTAATAAATCCAATATTAATAACCCTGAGAAAAGATCTTTTGGAGATTCCTCTTGGAGAATCCACACAATGAGTGATGAGCCCTGTGGTGGTAACACTGACAGACTAGGAGTCAGGACAGGTGGTGGATGACTGAAGATTGAAGATTTGGATGGAAATGAAATTAGAAATGAGGTTGTAGCACAGACATGCAAGGAAAAGGACAGAACTTATATTTTAACAACCATAGGAAGAGATCTTCAGAACAGTTAAAAGAAATGTTTTCCAGAAAAGTTAGAGAAAAATAGTTAGTGAAACAGTTTTTGAACAATTAGAGAAAAAATTCTGTCCTTGGATTTTAAGGATTTTTTAGAATTTGTCACTGAATTAAATGTTCCAATTGGTTCAGATCTCCATTGCTTCTGATTGGTCATTTCTTTGTTTCTAGATGAAATTGGACCAGATTAGGTCATGAGAAAAATTGATTATCAATATACAATTTGATACCATAATCCACTCTGACTGAGTGATGTTTAACAAACTTTGGATCTTCTGCTCATATTTTAGAACATTATGTTTTTTGTTCTGACAACTAAGAATTTTAACTATCTTTTACATGGCATTTCTCACAAAGTGTTCCATCTTTCTCATTTCATTGTTATTTTGTTTTGTTTGTTTAATTTACATTTTATTAAAAAATACAAATTTAAATTGACTGAAGACAAAAAGCTAACAGATAATCATGAATATTAAAGATATGGGTCATATAGTGATCTATATTTCTGACATTTATATCTAATGTCAATAGTTAATCTCCGTTAATAGTTGAATAGAAGAAACATGGTATATTTGTTTAATTCATTATCCAGTAATTCAGATTGCCTGGTTATCTGGTGTCTTTTGGCAGTGTAATTTAGTAAACTATATGTACTTTACATTGTATTGTGCTGAACAAGTATTACTGTTTTTGATATAGCATATATATATTTTGTGTACAGTAACATGCATGACTAATTTACTTTCTTTCCTAAAAGCCAGTGTAAGATCAGGCACCTAAAAACTGATTTCTCATATTTGAAGCATGTGTAGCTTTGTGAATCTGCTTGGGATTTATAGCTTTTATACATGTATACAGTACAAATCTGGAAAAGAAATATTACAATATATACACATGAATCATTGTGAATGTTGATTTTGTGCGAAATTTATTACTGTTTTTGCAAATTTTTCATTTAATCTTAACACAGTATAGTTATATGCTATACCATCTTCTGATTGATTAAAGAGTGTGTAAACAAATTAGAACCATACAGCAGCATGTGCTAATATAAAATGTTTAGCACATGTAACATATTGAATTATGGAAATGTATAAATCATCTAGTAATTTGACATTTTTGATAACCTGGCACTGCTCTGGTCCTGCAGATACCAGATTAATTAATTAATGAACTTTTACTATATTTTTGATATCCTGTTAATGTACAAAATTCATAATAGAAATGTACTAAATTATAAAAAAATTATGAGATTATCTCAATTAATTCTCTTAGAACAAGAACATCAAATCCTACTACATTCAGTAAATTCATGTATTTAACATATAAAGTTTGATAAAAAGGAATTATAAAGAAATTAAATTTTCTCATAATTTTTTTTAATAAATTGATTAAGTTGCAAAATAAAATTTCAATAATAGAAAACATTTTATTTTACAGTTTTCTATGGTAAATAATCAAAATTCAATGTCATATAATTTTGAAGATCAATTTTCAAAGTATGTTTACAAGTTTCCATCATCTTCCCAATTATGTCTTTGGAGTGGTATTTTAGCAGGAATGCCTATTAAAGAACTTACAAGACCAAATTCAAATCAGAAAAATTTTTTTGTTAATATTATTTTACCAGAAATTTGGAAATTAACTGAAAGGTTAGTCAATAAGTTATAAATTTTTGTTTAATAGAAATATTTTTATATACAATGGTTATATTTTAATTTATCAGTCATTTAAGTTATTTCATTAACAAAAGTTTTTTATTGTAATTCTCTATATTTACTAAGGTTTTAATTATCATAAACACAAATTAGATTTTATATTTACTTGAATTAAAATTCAAAGTAAATTTTTCATTAATATACTTTGAATATTTCTATAAAAATTTTACTAGTTTTAAGCTAACAACAATTATAATATGTTAGCTTTAAATTTATCTAAACTATTTCATTTGCATTTTAATGAATTATTATAAATAATATTGCTATAATATAATAATATGTCTTTGCATAATTTTAACTATCAATTGGCTTATTTTATTAACAGAAGTTTTATTCTGCATATTTGAAGTAATGTAATGACTAAGACAAAAAAAACCTTTCACACTTTGTTTCTAGCAGTTTAATCACTAAGTACAAACGTTAGTGATTAAACTGCTATAAACAAAGTGTGAAAGGTTTTGTCTTAGTCATTTTAAGTAGTTCAAGCTTCAAATGCATAGAAGTAATGTAAATAACTATAATAAAAATAATCTATTCAGAAATAATTGAACTGAAAACTATCCAAAAAAATTATAATTTAGAATACCTGTTTTCAAAAAGAATGCTTTTAGTGTTTATAAGGATGTCATTGACCACCCCTATTAAAATGAAGAAAAGTGAGTTTCATCAAAAATCCTAAAATTTTTAATGAGTAAATTAGAAAACACTATTCAATAGAGTATGAAACACTGTATCAAGTAGTATTATTTTAATTTCAATATCTGGTCAGAAATGTGCTATCCAGGTTGAAAGTCTTAAACATTTTTCTGAAATTGCCTCCATTAACCATAAAATAATCTTTGAAGTGTGATAAACTCTTTTTGGTAAAATGTTATTACAAGCTGCTTTTGTCACACTATTATTCATCTGTCTGAATATTCAATATCAATAAATGTAAACATTATGCTTATGCTTACATTTTCATTTTAAATAAGTTTTCATTTTCAATTACACATCAGTCAAAAGTAATTTTAAGGTAATTTGATATACATAGCCAGGTTCCTTTTCAAGTACGGTTACCAGGTACTTTGGGGATAAAGTCCAGGACAAAATGAGTTCTTCTATAAAAAAAACAGAACAATTCCAGGACTTGTACTGGATGTGTATTTTTACTCTGCTAATCACAGAGTAAAAATACACAGAATCATAGAAATACACTTAAAATGTAGAAAAAATATAAATAATTTATTTTAAAAACTGTTCCTACAATGACAGATGAAAAATTGCTAGGATTGACATCTTAATTGAGTTTTTCAAAGTGGATGCATATGGATGACAAAATTAAAGTAATATTAAATATCAATGACTATTACTATAGATTTCTTCTTTTGACTTTGATAATTAAAATGAGTGATTGGTTGAACCTGTTGTTGATTCTCAATGTTGATTTTGCTGCCTGTATGCATCTGCCTTAGAATCTTTTGTCAGTGTATTATCATTGAAATAGAGAATATTCCATACTCACAATCTATAGTAATCTTTTATTCATGTCCCTTTATATTTTTGTTACAATATCAACCTTTCCTTCTATGACTTTTAGTGGAAAATTTTATTAAGGATTATCAATAAAAACAAAAACAAAAGTACAATTTATACAAACAATACATGACAAAGGAGAAAAATAAAGAAACATAGAATACATAACTAATAACCAAATGATTGCCTTAAATAATTGGGCTATAAATCTGCTAATATATATATGTTTGCATTCTTGTCACTGGATGGCAGAAGTATGATGACTGGGAAAATCTAATATAATAGGCTGTCCCAATAAAATTTTTGGGAACATGGAAAAACTATGTCGAAAACCTGGACAATCTTGGAAAATCAGGATATTTAGAATCACTATATCGAGTGAAGAAGCATATGATATGCTGATAAATTTGGACGAGTATTGAGATATATTCATTGCAGCGGAAAGATTCTGACCTGAACATTATCCTGATTGGACTTCTCATTATTTCATAATTGATGTAAAATGTTCCATAATTTTTTCATTTTTGGCTAATTGAATCAGAAATGAAGATGCCAGATGACAGATATAGACATATAGACAGATCTGTCATCTGATTATGGATGAAAAAGCAGGAGGTTATTCAGTTAAAATCAATGTCAAGTATGTTATGCTAGAAGAGTTTATATGAACAAAAATACTATATAGCAGTAGTAACAAGTTTTCTTAGTTCAAGCATCAATTACATATGATTATCGTGCTAATATTTTTATTATGTTTTTCATTCATCAATAGTGTATTAATAAAAATATTTTGTATTATAAACTATAGTAGAGCGTCGTTTATCCGAAAGTCGGTTATCTGAAAGCATTTCAGTTGGCAAATTTAAATTTTTTGCTAGTGCTGTGGCGGTGCAATCTTTGGCTATATGTTGGACTACTCCAATATTTTTTTTTCGTTGGTGTGTGTGTTTTAGCTGGCAGCACTGGCACTTTTGTGTGGTGTTTTTCTGAGGACTGTGTCGTGCTGAATCGAACGTTTTTGATACTAGATCAACTACTAAAGTATATTTTTTTGGTTTTTATATTTTTCAATATATTTATTTTGTTTGTACAAAATAAAAAATAATTTTTAACGATACAATAGCCACGATTATTATTTTAAAAAGTTTTCATTAGGTTTAATATCGACAAAAATTCAACACGAAGCGACACACAATGGAGAAAAATTTCAACATGGGATAGGTTAATATATTTTTCATACGTAATCGGTTATCTGAAAAATAAGTTATCCGAACAACCCCAGTCTGCAATTGATTCGGATAAACGACGCTCTACTGTATTTTGTTATTTTGATACTATCATGCTTCTCCATGATGTTTTTAAGATGTTTTTATGGTCAATCGAGGTACTTTCAGAAAAAATGTTTGAGACAGAATTGTTTTATTATTATTATTATTTTTCAATTAGAAATTTGAGTTTAATCCAATTTAAATTAAAAAAATATCATGTTTCATTTTAAAAATTTGACTCCTGGCCTGGATAGCTCATTTATGACCAGTACAGAAGTTGAAAATATCATCATTCCAAACATTATATCCACTTTACTTTATCAAAATTTTTTGGATTTTTGATGAAATTCATTTTCCTTTATTTTAAAATGGGTGCCTTTACATATATAAAGTTTCATTACTTTCAGAATACACTTTATGTGTTATAGTTATTTAATAAATTTTTAATACTTAACTGGATTTTAGCTTACTTAAAACAAAATTTAATGTTTTAAGATTGTTTTAAAATATGTTTTAATGTTTTATTATATTAAAGTTAAAATTTATTGACAGTAGTTGACAGGAATAATTTAAAATTTACAAGTCTTAGAAGGATATGCTATTACAATTTTTCTTTATTAACTAAACCCAGAAGTAATTATTTATAATTTCATTCATTAAAAAAAAGTAGAAAAAATGTCATTTCCGTTATTTAAATTCATTTCAAAATAGTCCAAAAATAACAAAATGATAAATTTACATCAATTTATTATTATTTTTTATAGTTATAAATAAAATATATATATAGGTTTATTATTATAAACATAATTAATATGTTTGATTTGAAATTTTTTCTGTCTTTTTTATAGTATTAATGATTCATCAATGAGTCTTGCATGTTCAAGAATAATTCATCAGTGGACAGATGTGGCATGGTAATTTTAATTTGAATTTTCCATTATATTATATTATATTATTAATAATAATAAAATAGAGAATGATGAGATTAAAAGTATTTAGGAGTGGAAAAAATTGATGGAATCAGTAACATTGAAGTGAAGGACAAAAAGATTGTTAATGCTGAGTCCATAAAATACTTTGGGGGACTGAACTCAAAGAATAAGATTATAGTCATCAATACCTTGTTGGTAACCAACAGCTTTAAAATAGTTGACTGGTTAAAAAATGGATATTAAAGCATTCACCACAACAAAAAACTGGTTGTTTAGAATAAAACCATACAAAATGCTACAAAAACCAGTAAAAGAAATAAAAATTATCTACTTCTTAATGGATATGATGGATTGGAAAACAAGAAAGCTTTTCATTATGGGAGAATCTGTTAACAAAAGGTAGATGTTGATAGACTTTATATAAAGAGTATAAAGAGAAGAAAATGAGGAAAGAATTGATTTAGATTGTATCTGCTTGAAATTTTGTTACACATTTACATATTCTTACAAAGACATAAGTGAGTACATTGAGCTGGGAGGTGACAAATTCATCAAACTGTTAAAAATATTTCTTGTGGAAAGAAGCACATTAAATAGAACATCAAACAGAAGTATCTAAGCCAGGAGACTGCTGTCTGAAATGTTAAAAAACTAACATTTAGAAACAAAGGATACTGCAATGATGAACCTTTGTATGGATGGTTCTATCCAGATTTTAATAAGCTGACAGTCTCAATAAAGAGGCAACCTTGAAATGACTAAAAAATACTCTTAAAGAGAAATACTCTTAGAGTTTAAAGAGAAAATACTTAGAGTTTAATAATGGCAACATAGGACCAAACATTTAATACAAGGTATCACCAAAAGAACATTATGAAATAACAAGATGATAGAAAATGCAGGTTATGACATAATTTAGAACATATAAACCATCTTATAAGCTGTACAATATTTGCATCATCTGAGTACACCAGTAGACACATTATCATAGGTAGCTATACCACTTCAAATACATAAGTATTTGAAGTAGAAATATCTCATACATATTACAAACATGTTGCCAACCAGGTCATTAACATGAATAATATCACTGTTATGTGGAAAATGCCAATAGTAACAGACAAGAATATCTTAAAAATCTTTCTTGATATTGTATTACATGACAGTGAAAAAGGAATTTGTCTACTGATTGATATAGCTGTTTCAGATGACTCAAACAGTGTGATGAAAGAAGTACAGAAACAGTAAATATAAAGATCTAGAAATAGAAATCAATAGAAGGTTGAATGTGAAGACAAGAATTGTTGCGATCTTAGTAAATACACTAGGAACACTTAAGAAGGTATTTAATCAAAAACTTCAGCTATTTTCTTTCTGCATCTCTTTACTGATGGATAACCATCCATCAGCTAAAGATATGCAAAAGATTTCACCAATGAATGCTGTGCTTTGATCTCTTGTTGAGATATGAATGTATTATAACCACCATTTAACAACTTCATGATCTTGCAAAGCCAAATGTTGATTAGTAGCATCAAATCACTGGCTTTAAGATGGGAATCTCTTTGGAAACAGAATGTTTTATGATTGCAATACAGGATATGTTGTACTAATCTTGTATAACTTTGCAGTTACTACTTAAAAACATAACACAAACATTTTCAACCCACTTCTAGGGTCTTCCTCAGGTGTTTTACAAGTTTTCTGATGTGATTCCAATTTTTAACCATTTAGGTCTCTAATGCTTCTATCTTCAGAATTTATTTTTTAAAATTTAAAAATTTGAATCTCCAAATGATGTCTGCCTGCACCAGTTGTTATAGTGTTACATCATAAATAGCCTGCCATGCTCTTGATAGTTGTTTTTCTTCTTTAAAATTGATTGACAGGACTTTGCAGTCTGCTTTAAAAATTTCTAACACCTCTAGATTTCATAGTTGGTTTATATGTTGGGTTTGTCTAATCATTGTCACTTGTTGTAGGTTAGGGATAATGCTGTTTTCGTTAGAATATATTGCTAAGGTGGTATTATTTTTCTTTTTTTGATGTCTGTTTTGTGCTCAGAGGCGTTGTCTGAGCGACCTTTTTGTAGATCCGACATATTCGAGGTCCCTGTTGAATCTTTTATCCTTTAATGGAATTTTATACACTCCCGGTGTTTTTTCGATTTTGGCTTGATCTTTCTCATTTTTCAACATGGCAAATGTGTCTGGCTTACGTCTGTAGGCTATTTTTGTGTTAGTGTAGGCTCCAATTTCTTGATATAGGGACTGCATAGAGCACTCATATGTTAGCTATATTTAGCTATACGGTAGGGAGATGTATCTTGTCGTGGATCCCTTCCTGGGATTGCATTCACTTGGTCTTCAAGCTGGTTTCATTGGTTATCGGCCATTCTGTATATTAGGCCTTTATTGTAGCTGTGACTTTCCACAATTTCTGCTATTTTCCTTATTTCCCTCCATTGTCTTGTTCTTTGCTACAATGTGTGTAGGCTCTTCTGATAAGCGCTCTAAAAGCTGCCATTTTGTAGTTATATGGATCATTCGAGTCAGCCAGGATGTATATTGGGATAGCACTTGGTTTTCAGTATATCTTTGTGTCATATCCGCTACCATTGAATGTTATACTACAGTCCAAAAATTGAGCCTCCTTATTGCTTATTTGTTCCAATTCAATTGTAAGGCCATATGGGTTGTGATTCATGCATCTTATAAATTCTTTGATGATTTGGCTTCATCTTTCATATGATGCATATGTCATCAATATATCGCTTACACACTTTAAAGAAGGAACTTGGGGATGACCTTGGCTTCTAGGAGGCATACTACAATTTCAGCTAAGTCCCCTGATAAGACATATCTGTAATTATCGCTTTATTTACTGGATGGATTTGATTGCAATACAGGATGAAGTTATCAGGAAATACAGGAGCCTACAGGAAACACATAATCAAACATATAATGGATGATGCTTGTAGGAAATGTCATTCTGCACAAGAAACTATATAACATATCGCAAGACGTTGTAAAAACTGGGCTCGAACAGAATATTTATACAGACATAATCAGGTAGCTAAAATAATTTACCAGTATATAACAAAGAAACATTTACTAGCCATAAAAAAGAAAACACAATATTATAAATACTATACATTTCACAAACTATCTTTGAGAACACAACATACAAACTATATTTTGACAGAGCAATTATAACAGATAAACGATCACAATAGACTGGATTTTATCCTCATACAAAACTACCTATATTATTGACATTACTATACCAAATACACATAATTTACAAAATAGCTATACAGAAAAAATAAGTAAATATACTGAACTCTCTGAATAAATAAAATACCAATGGAAAATAAAGTCCTCTCCCACAGGAGTTATCCCATATTCTTTAGATAAAAGCCTGAAGACAATAGACATTCATTCAAATTTATATAGGTCTTTACAAAAAGCTATTGTTCTGGCAACTTGTCATATTGTCAGAGAATTTCTCCAAATTGATTAAGGTTTTGTACTGTTTCACAGGCTTGGCCATTAGACCTGCCTGTGACATTCGGTACTGAACATGATCTGAGAATGATACACAGTAAAAAAGAATAATAATATTGGAAATATAAAAAAAAAGAAGCTTGCTCTATGAATTTATTTTGTATTAAGTGATTAGAATGATTTATGTAGAAAGTAAAATACTTAAATGAAATGTTTAGAAGGTATGTTTAGTTTGAAAAAATTTAGAAACTGAAATGAATTTTTTACTGTAAAATTTTAAAATCTGCTAATAGTTTAATTTTTACTATAAACTTCTTAATTAAAAAATTAAAATATCCTTAAATGAAATAATTTAAAATTCAGAAATGGTTTTTATTACCTAATACCTAATATTGTTTATTTTATTATTTTTAGCAAAGCATTGCTTGAAAAAACCTACTTTACTCATTTGTCTAAACAACTTTCAGGAGATAGCATAGTAATAAATGAATTGTTGAAATACATCTGGAGTCACTGGGATCATTTTGTCGATGTAAGTTTGATCAACGTTCTATTTCATTTTAGGGTATTTATTATGTTTCTCATATATCATTGTTCTGTTATAGGTACATTCTGTCTTTTGAATAACCTTTCTCTTGCCTATTAGTTTATTTAAAATAAGCATTTTATAAGAACAGAACTAATTTTAAATATGAAAATAAAAACTTCATGTAGTATAAAATATAATCATTAAGAACACGATATTGATATTTGATAAATATTCATTTGATTGAAATATTTTTATTTCTTATCAATATACAGCATGTCCCTTCAAGACTGCATAAATTCTGCAGAGTGAGAATCCTTGCTCAGAGTACATAAAAATTGACCCAAGAACCATAGTTTTTGAGCAAAATGTGAAAGAAAAAGTATGACATCACATCCAACACATGGAAAACAAGCTTTATTGGAAACATGAACATCTGTACTTGTATATGGCATTTTGCTTATATAGGAAGATGCTGAAAATGACCACCATGTATATTGAGGCTTGCATGCAAATGCTGTAGAATGGCTGACTGTACACGATCCAGCATTGTGTTGTCCACGAAAGTGAACTCAGCATGAAGACAAGCAACCAAGTCACTTTTTGTAGTTACTGGGGTTTGATATACCAATTCCTTCAGATGGCCTCATAGGCAGAAATCCAAAGGTGTCATATCTGGCAATGTGGCAGCCATACAACTTGACCCCTAATCCAGCGACTTATCCAACTAATCATGTACAAATGAACAGAAATGCACTTGTGGTACATCATGCTGAACCATAGGCCATGTATTGCCAATAAGGATAAGTCATCAAGGCAATCAGTTAGTACATCATGGAGAAATACCAAGTATGAATGTCTGAGTCGTTGAGGCAGTAGACATGGTCCAATAATGTGATTGCCCAGTATGCTGGCCCAAACATTTACAGATCAGCAGACTTAGTGTCTTTGGGCAGATTGCATGAGGATTGGACTCTAACCACATGTGGCTGTTGTGACTGTTGAAGACTACAGAAAGCCACTTGGTTGCTTGTCTTCATGCTGTGTTCACTTTTGTGGACAACACAATGCTGGATCATGTGTAGTCAGCCATTCTACATCATGGGCATACGTGCTTTGATATGAATGGTGGTCATTTTCTATGTAAGCATAATGTCATATGAAAGTACCAATGTTCATGTTATCAATAAAGCTTATTTTTCATGCATCAGATGTGAAGTCATACTGTTTCTTTTGTATTTTTTTCAAAAACTATGGGTCTTAGATGTATGGTTTTTGGGTCATTTTTTATGTACTCTGAGTGAGGATTCTCACTCTGCAGTGTTTATGCAGTCTTGATGGGACACCCTGTATTAAAAGTTTATATCTATGTTGTTTTCTTTGCTTTGTGTTTTAAAGAAATGAAAAGATACATTTAAATTTCTTAAATATAAGCAATAATCCTGCCATTACTTATTCAGTAGTTGCTACATTCAGTTGCCTCATTATGAAGTTTCCATCTTCATAAATTTGGGATATTTAGGTTTGAATATAGAAAAATATTCAAACCTAAATATTTAATTACTCTATTATTAATAATTCTCAAACATAAAAGAAGAAATAGTATATCATACTATGCTTAAAGCATAGTATGATNTTTTCTTATTTATAAAATAAAATATTAAATAATATAGATAATAAATTTAAATTTAGTATTGTTTTTTTGTACTTTATATTAATATGAGGTCTGTTTCTTTTTCAACCTCTTATGGTCCATGAAAAAAGACAAGTGTAAATAACAAGATGAATTTATTACTGAAAGTTAGGTACAAACATGGTTACTTTTTGACATAATCACCATGAAGATTGAGGCATTTGCTATCTATGGACAAGCTAAGAAATTCCCTCTTCGTAGAATGTTGCTGCCAGTGACTTGAGATGGCCTTAACAATGTTGTTTTGAAGATTGTCATTAGTCTCAAACCTCTGCCCTCCTAACCATGCTTTCAGCTCAGGAAAGAAGTGAAAGTCTTCACACACTAAAAAGTTCCAAGTTGGGTGGAAGTCTGAAAGGTGGAAGTCTTCACCACCTTCAAACACCCAACATATAACCCCGATTTAGCACAGAGTGATTTTTACCTCTTTTCTGAACTGAAAACATGGCTAGGAGGGCAGAGGTTTGAGAGTAATAATGATCTTCAGAATAATGTCATTAAGGCCATCTCAAGTCACTGGCGGCAAAATTCTACGAACAGGCGATTTCAAAGTTCATCCACAGATAGACAAATAAGTAATCATGTTTGTACCTATTTTTTGGTAATAAATTCATTTTGTTATTTACATGTCTTTGTTTTATGGACCATCAGAGGTTGAAAAAGAAAAGCCTTCATAGATAGATAATTTTATAATTAATGATGTAAAGAGCATTAATTAAAGAATAGATAAAATTTTTAAAATAATTTAAAAGATTTAAAATAAATTGTTAATAAATTATATTTGTTATCAAATATTAAATGTACTTTGCACTAGTGATGGATCAAATATTTGGCATTATTCAGTATTTTGATATATTTAGCCAAGTTAAAATCTCCAACCCTATTACATTGAGTTGGACATTGCCTTCAAATGAGATGACTGCTACTCAGCAAGAGCCGTCTGTGGATGGTTCTTGCTGAGTAGCAGTTCAGTTCATTTGAAGTAGCTTATTCAGAAACCGAGTTATTGTATGTACGGTAACTAGAGCAAATATGGTGTAAATTTTGTTTGTAAATAAGGACCATTTGTGTATATATATATACACAAATGATCCTAAATTAATATATATTTATATATGTAGCTATAATTTAATGTCAGTTGAGAGTTATATATGATAACAAATAGCTTTCAGCAATTGGACTTGTGAATGAACTCAAGTTTTTAGACCAATAATTTTGAATTTTAAATAATAATACTTATATTGTTTTTATTTTATAGTTCCAGAAAAAAGTCAGTTTACATATAAATTGACTGAAACATTAATAAATACTCCTTGGCATCAACGTGGTAAATATGCAATGTTATGTTGTATAGTTGAACAGATGGGAAGTAAAGTTTTGTTGGAGATATCACCAACATTTCCTTTAGATATGTTGAATGCATTGAAAGAAAGATTAATTGCAAGTCATGTAAGTAATAGTTTCTCTGGTATCTTAAAAATGATAACTGACTTTTTAAAAAATTTTTAGAAAAATTTCTCTAAAAATTAAATAATACAATAATGATATTTAATAACAACATGAACATGACTCTCTGAGTAATTTTCATGTTGATTTGCTTTGATCTGGATATGTCTGTTTTCATACCTGATTATTTGGCTAGCTTGTTATGAGCTTATCCAAGCCTATGATGAATCTGATAAAGATATTCACAGGACAGAAAAAGTTAAAAACCATTATTAAATCATGATTAGATCATAAAATATAATAAAATCTACTTAATATGAAATTAAAAAATTGCCAGGACAATTATGACATTTATAGAAAATATATTTCTTTTTGATCATACATACATACCTAGATGAGTCTTTGTCTATTTTCTGTCCCTTCACACACTGTACGAGGCAATAACAATTTCCACCAGCAAATTCTACCTTTCTATGTAATTACCAAATGTAATTATTGTGATATGATACTTTGTATTGACCATTGAAAAACATTTATAAAGTTTTCAATGCCATTTTGTCATGTGTAATCTATAGCTTTAAAATCAATAAATAAGACAGATATGGGCAACCTTTCTATAGTAATGGGCACATGGCATTATTTAGAACTAAAATTCTAAAAACAGGATTTTAAGTAAGTAAGTAGAAATTCTACATTTGTAAAGAAAACGTGAATACTATAGATAACTAATCTTCAGATTTATCGCTTATGATGTTATAAGTTTTGTTCACTTGCCTACTTTAAATTACTTATTATGCAAATACATTTAAGGATTTTGATAGTTGGCCATAGAAAAAGTTATGGAGCACATGGTTCTACATTGACCTAAGTGCTGTAGGTTGTTGATGCGAAACTAAAAGCTTTGTGAATGAACAGATAAGTGCAAGTAGTTATGTGTACAAGTTTTTTTACATTCAGATCAAATATAAGATAAAACAAAGCAAAAATTATTGTGACATCATCACAATGCTGAGCGGCAATTTTTAATTTATTTAATTTAAAATAAATGATCTGGATCTCAAATTATTAGTGTCTTGTTCCTGGTTATCATACTTTTCCTGACAAGAATAGAATCATTCATGCCAGTTATTTACATAATGCCATTCTGTAAAAAAATTTTTTAATTGAAATCACATGACCTCTGGTCTATACTGTAAGTTCATATATAGTTAATTGGGACCTCCTGCCCCTAAGCTTTCCCGACTTTCATTTATCTAACACCATTCTCAAGATTAAGGAAGGACTGTCAGATGGATGATGGTGGAAATTTATAGGTGTACAGTTTTTTCAAATTGAAGCCCTATAAACAAAAGTTAAAAAATGATAAATAGACTAGAAACTTAAAAAATTATTTAATGTTTATATACAGTAGNAATTAACATTTAACTTATAACATGTTATCTTAATATTTAAAATTAATTTTTTTTAGGAAGGACGTACTCCTCTTCATTATGCAGCAGTCATACCAGATGAAGGATATTTATATAAAATCATAAAAGCTCAGGGAGCCGACGAAAACATCAAAGATAGGTTTATTATTATAAACATAATTAATATGTTTGATTTGAAATTTTTTCTGTCTTTTTTATAGTATTAATGATTCATCAATGAGTCTTGCATGTTCAAGAATAATTCATCAGTGGACAGATGTGGCATGGTAATTTTAATTTGAATTTTCCATTATATTATATTATATTATTAATAATAATAAAATAGAGAATGATGAGATTAAAAGTATTTAGGAGTGGAAAAAATTGATGGAATCAGTAACATTGAAGTGAAGGACAAAAAGATTGTTAATGCTGAGTCCATAAAATACTTTGGGGGACTGAACTCAAAGAATAAGATTATAGTCATCAATACCTTGTTGGTAACCAACAGCTTTAAAATAGTTGACTGGTTAAAAAATGGATATTAAAGCATTCACCACAACAAAAAACTGGTTGTTTAGAATAAAACCATACAAAATGCTACAAAAACCAGTAAAAGAAATAAAAATTATCTACTTCTTAATGGATATGATGGATTGGAAAACAAGAAAGCTTTTCATTATGGGAGAATCTGTTAACAAAAGGTAGATGTTGATAGACTTTATATAAAGAGTATAAAGAGAAGAAAATGAGGAAAGAATTGATTTAGATTGTATCTGCTTGAAATTTTGTTACACATTTACATATTCTTACAAAGACATAAGTGAGTACATTGAGCTGGGAGGTGACAAATTCATCAAACTGTTAAAAATATTTCTTGTGGAAAGAAGCACATTAAATAGAACATCAAACAGAAGTATCTAAGCCAGGAGACTGCTGTCTGAAATGTTAAAAAACTAACATTTAGAAACAAAGGATACTGCAATGATGAACCTTTGTATGGATGGTTCTATCCAGATTTTAATAAGCTGACAGTCTCAATAAAGAGGCAACCTTGAAATGACTAAAAAATACTCTTAAAGAGAAATACTCTTAGAGTTTAAAGAGAAAATACTTAGAGTTTAATAATGGCAACATAGGACCAAACATTTAATACAAGGTATCACCAAAAGAACATTATGAAATAACAAGATGATAGAAAATGCAGGTTATGACATAATTTAGAACATATAAACCATCTTATAAGCTGTACAATATTTGCATCATCTGAGTACACCAGTAGACACATTATCATAGGTAGCTATACCACTTCAAATACATAAGTATTTGAAGTAGAAATATCTCATACATATTACAAACATGTTGCCAACCAGGTCATTAACATGAATAATATCACTGTTATGTGGAAAATGCCAATAGTAACAGACAAGAATATCTTAAAAATCTTTCTTGATATTGTATTACATGACAGTGAAAAAGGAATTTGTCTACTGATTGATATAGCTGTTTCAGATGACTCAAACAGTGTGATGAAAGAAGTACAGAAACAGTAAATATAAAGATCTAGAAATAGAAATCAATAGAAGGTTGAATGTGAAGACAAGAATTGTTGCGATCTTAGTAAATACACTAGGAACACTTAAGAAGGTATTTAATCAAAAACTTCAGCTATTTTCTTTCTGCATCTCTTTACTGATGGATAACCATCCATCAGCTAAAGATATGCAAAAGATTTCACCAATGAATGCTGTGCTTTGATCTCTTGTTGAGATATGAATGTATTATAACCACCATTTAACAACTTCATGATCTTGCAAAGCCAAATGTTGATTAGTAGCATCAAATCACTGGCTTTAAGATGGGAATCTCTTTGGAAACAGAATGTTTTATGATTGCAATACAGGATATGTTGTACTAATCTTGTATAACTTTGCAGTTACTACTTAAAAACATAACACAAACATTTTCAACCCACTTCTAGGGTCTTCCTCAGGTGTTTTACAAGTTTTCTGATGTGATTCCAATTTTTAACCATTTAGGTCTCTAATGCTTCTATCTTCAGAATTTATTTTTTAAAATTTAAAAATTTGAATCTCCAAATGATGTCTGCCTGCACCAGTTGTTATAGTGTTACATCATAAATAGCCTGCCATGCTCTTGATAGTTGTTTTTCTTCTTTAAAATTGATTGACAGGACTTTGCAGTCTGCTTTAAAAATTTCTAACACCTCTAGATTTCATAGTTGGTTTATATGTTGGGTTTGTCTAATCATTGTCACTTGTTGTAGGTTAGGGATAATGCTGTTTTCGTTAGAATATATTGCTAAGGTGGTATTATTTTTCTTTTTTTGATGTCTGTTTTGTGCTCAGAGGCGTTGTCTGAGCGACCTTTTTGTAGATCCGACATATTCGAGGTCCCTGTTGAATCTTTTATCCTTTAATGGAATTTTATACACTCCCGGTGTTTTTTCGATTTTGGCTTGATCTTTCTCATTTTTCAACATGGCAAATGTGTCTGGCTTACGTCTGTAGGCTATTTTTGTGTTAGTGTAGGCTCCAATTTCTTGATATAGGGACTGCATAGAGCACTCATATGTTAGCTATATTTAGCTATACGGTAGGGAGATGTATCTTGTCGTGGATCCCTTCCTGGGATTGCATTCACTTGGTCTTCAAGCTGGTTTCATTGGTTATCGGCCATTCTGTATATTAGGCCTTTATTGTAGCTGTGACTTTCCACAATTTCTGCTATTTTCCTTATTTCCCTCCATTGTCTTGTTCTTTGCTACAATGTGTGTAGGCTCTTCTGATAAGCGCTCTAAAAGCTGCCATTTTGTAGTTATATGGATCATTCGAGTCAGCCAGGATGTATATTGGGATAGCACTTGGTTTTCAGTATATCTTTGTGTCATATCCGCTACCATTGAATGTTATACTACAGTCCAAAAATTGAGCCTCCTTATTGCTTATTTGTTCCAATTCAATTGTAAGGCCATATGGGTTGTGATTCATGCATCTTATAAATTCTTTGATGATTTGGCTTCATCTTTCATATGATGCATATGTCATCAATATATCGCTTACACACTTTAAAGAAGGAACTTGGGGATGACCTTGGCTTCTAGGAGGCATACTACAATTTCAGCTAAGTCCCCTGATAAGACATATCTGTAATTATCGCTTTATTTACTGGATGGATTTGATTGCAATACAGGATGAAGTTATCAGGAAATACAGGAGCCTACAGGAAACACATAATCAAACATATAATGGATGATGCTTGTAGGAAATGTCATTCTGCACAAGAAACTATATAACATATCGCAAGACGTTGTAAAAACTGGGCTCGAACAGAATATTTATACAGACATAATCAGGTAGCTAAAATAATTTACCAGTATATAACAAAGAAACATTTACTAGCCATAAAAAAGAAAACACAATATTATAAATACTATACATTTCACAAACTATCTTTGAGAACACAACATACAAACTATATTTTGACAGAGCAATTATAACAGATAAACGATCACAATAGACTGGATTTTATCCTCATACAAAACTACCTATATTATTGACATTACTATACCAAATACACATAATTTACAAAATAGCTATACAGAAAAAATAAGTAAATATACTGAACTCTCTGAATAAATAAAATACCAATGGAAAATAAAGTCCTCTCCCACAGGAGTTATCCCATATTCTTTAGATAAAAGCCTGAAGACAATAGACATTCATTCAAATTTATATAGGTCTTTACAAAAAGCTATTGTTCTGGCAACTTGTCATATTGTCAGAGAATTTCTCCAAATTGATTAAGGTTTTGTACTGTTTCACAGGCTTGGCCATTAGACCTGCCTGTGACATTCGGTACTGAACATGATCTGAGAATGATACACAGTAAAAAAGAATAATAATATTGGAAATATAAAAAAAAAGAAGCTTGCTCTATGAATTTATTTTGTATTAAGTGATTAGAATGATTTATGTAGAAAGTAAAATACTTAAATGAAATGTTTAGAAGGTATGTTTAGTTTGAAAAAATTTAGAAACTGAAATGAATTTTTTACTGTAAAATTTTAAAATCTGCTAATAGTTTAATTTTTACTATAAACTTCTTAATTAAAAAATTAAAATATCCTTAAATGAAATAATTTAAAATTCAGAAATGGTTTTTATTACCTAATACCTAATATTGTTTATTTTATTATTTTTAGCAAAGCATTGCTTGAAAAAACCTACTTTACTCATTTGTCTAAACAACTTTCAGGAGATAGCATAGTAATAAATGAATTGTTGAAATACATCTGGAGTCACTGGGATCATTTTGTCGATGTAAGTTTGATCAACGTTCTATTTCATTTTAGGGTATTTATTATGTTTCTCATATATCATTGTTCTGTTATAGGTACATTCTGTCTTTTGAATAACCTTTCTCTTGCCTATTAGTTTATTTAAAATAAGCATTTTATAAGAACAGAACTAATTTTAAATATGAAAATAAAAACTTCATGTAGTATAAAATATAATCATTAAGAACACGATATTGATATTTGATAAATATTCATTTGATTGAAATATTTTTATTTCTTATCAATATACAGCATGTCCCTTCAAGACTGCATAAATTCTGCAGAGTGAGAATCCTTGCTCAGAGTACATAAAAATTGACCCAAGAACCATAGTTTTTGAGCAAAATGTGAAAGAAAAAGTATGACATCACATCCAACACATGGAAAACAAGCTTTATTGGAAACATGAACATCTGTACTTGTATATGGCATTTTGCTTATATAGGAAGATGCTGAAAATGACCACCATGTATATTGAGGCTTGCATGCAAATGCTGTAGAATGGCTGACTGTACACGATCCAGCATTGTGTTGTCCACGAAAGTGAACTCAGCATGAAGACAAGCAACCAAGTCACTTTTTGTAGTTACTGGGGTTTGATATACCAATTCCTTCAGATGGCCTCATAGGCAGAAATCCAAAGGTGTCATATCTGGCAATGTGGCAGCCATACAACTTGACCCCTAATCCAGCGACTTATCCAACTAATCATGTACAAATGAACAGAAATGCACTTGTGGTACATCATGCTGAACCATAGGCCATGTATTGCCAATAAGGATAAGTCATCAAGGCAATCAGTTAGTACATCATGGAGAAATACCAAGTATGAATGTCTGAGTCGTTGAGGCAGTAGACATGGTCCAATAATGTGATTGCCCAGTATGCTGGCCCAAACATTTACAGATCAGCAGACTTAGTGTCTTTGGGCAGATTGCATGAGGATTGGACTCTAACCACATGTGGCTGTTGTGACTGTTGAAGACTACAGAAAGCCACTTGGTTGCTTGTCTTCATGCTGTGTTCACTTTTGTGGACAACACAATGCTGGATCATGTGTAGTCAGCCATTCTACATCATGGGCATACGTGCTTTGATATGAATGGTGGTCATTTTCTATGTAAGCATAATGTCATATGAAAGTACCAATGTTCATGTTATCAATAAAGCTTATTTTTCATGCATCAGATGTGAAGTCATACTGTTTCTTTTGTATTTTTTTCAAAAACTATGGGTCTTAGATGTATGGTTTTTGGGTCATTTTTTATGTACTCTGAGTGAGGATTCTCACTCTGCAGTGTTTATGCAGTCTTGATGGGACACCCTGTATTAAAAGTTTATATCTATGTTGTTTTCTTTGCTTTGTGTTTTAAAGAAATGAAAAGATACATTTAAATTTCTTAAATATAAGCAATAATCCTGCCATTACTTATTCAGTAGTTGCTACATTCAGTTGCCTCATTATGAAGTTTCCATCTTCATAAATTTGGGATATTTAGGTTTGAATATAGAAAAATATTCAAACCTAAATATTTAATTACTCTATTATTAATAATTCTCAAACATAAAAGAAGAAATAGTATATCATACTATGCTTAAAGCATAGTATGATATACTATGCTTAAAGCATATTATAATCAGAAGATATAGACCAAGAGGTTTGCATTTGTGATTGATTAGGTTTGCTTGATAAATATTAAAAATAGTGAATTCAGTTGTTGAAGCTAAAGAGATTTTATGATCTTAGATTGAATTTGATTTGAAATCCAAGTTAGTGAATTATGAGCAATAACTCATTATGACTTCTTTATCAGATATTTAAATTTCTGATAAATCAGTTTTATTGTTATTGAAATTAACAGTTTATAGTAGTATGAAATATTTAAATACAAAACAAAATTTTCAATAATAATTTACTTGTTCACTGTTTTCTTATTTCTGTTGTCAAAATATAGAGAATTATAATATAGAGAACATTCCTTAACAGGATACTATTTTATTCATACATTTCAAATTATTTATGAAAAATATGTTATTTTATCTAGTAATCTCAATAATATTGTGATATATTTCAATAGACCAGTGAATACTTAGAATTATTTTAAATCAGACAAAGAATATACAAATTAATTATCATTCATTTCTTTAATTGCTATCTATAATAATATAAAAATAATGATATTCATACAACAAAGAGTTTTCCCATGTCCTTTTGTTTATTATATTTTCTATATCACAATGTATACTATATTTTTTACTTGTGCCACATCACCAGAGAGAATTTTTTATAATGTTTTGCATAGTGAGGAGGATGAGTAGCCTCTAAATAAAAGTCAACTCCACTGTAAGACTTATTTCCTGAGGTGTGAAAAAGGACAGGGGAGGACTCTTTGTTGTATAGTCTTTTGTACAGTGGTGCCTCGTATAACGTACGCCTCGAATAATGGACGCTGCGAATAACGGACTTTCTGTTTGACCATTACGTGACTCGAGCAACTGACTTGCTGCAAACAACGGACTTTCCGTTCGGCAATTACGTGAGACGAACAATGGACTTTCTTTGAACAAGTGCGAATGATGTTTCCACTCTTTTGCCATTGCCAATGACAATCTGCTATTTTTAGGATATATTAGTATTATTAGTATATCTGAAGTAGAAATGTAATGTAATATATGTTGATGATTTAAATAAACATTAAATGTAATGTAATACAGTATATGTTGATGATTCAAATAAACGAAATGTAATTGTGTAGATGCTGAGGTGGCGGGACGAAAAGAGGTTGTAAAAAACAAACGGAGCGAGAGTAGCTTGTAGAAGTGTTTAGTGATCTTAATTAATAAAGAATTATTTGTATTATATAATCTGGCAAGTTAAGTCATTTATAATGCATCATGGCTTCTAAAAAAAACAGAAAGGTGATTTCAATTGAAACAAAGCAAGAAATCATCAGGAGTGAAAGTTGACAAAAACTTTCTTGTCGAATGGGGAGAG